TGTTTAATGTCTTTTTTTAAACAAAGAAATATTATTTAGCAAAGAAATAAGTATTCCTTTGACTCCACCTGGTGGTGCTTGAGGACCCATGTGCTGGGACTGAACCTGGGGCTCCCACATGGGAAGCTAAGAGCTGTCTCCCAGCCCAGGAATGCATTTCTAATATGTTCAACAATAGGGGTAAAATCCCAAAATAATTATGCTGAAAGAAGTTACATTCATAGTAAGAAGATGTATTGGGGCCAGGGATGTTGCTCAGTGGTAGAGTACATATCTTGCATGCATGAGACATTGGGGTGGGTCCCCTGGCACCCCCAACTCTGTATTGTATGCTTGCACTTAAATATAAAATGTGAGGGGCTGGAGTGATAGCACAGTGGGTAAAGGTGTTTGCCTTGCACACAGCTGACCCGGGTTCGATTCCCATGTGGTCTCTCGAGCACCGCCAGGAGTAAATTTTTGAGTGTCTGAACCAGGAGTGACCCCTGTGCATCACTGGGCGTGACCCAAAAAGCAAAAAAAAAAAAAACCCATAAAATGTGAATGAATCTACATGACAGAAAGAAAATAAGAGGAGCAGGGGAGAGGGAGAGAGGGCATGAGGCAACTTTGGAGTTAATGGTTAGTTTAATAGTAATCGATAATGGTTGGTTGGCCTCATGGGTCAGTGTGGTTTATATTTTAAAGTTCAGTTACATATATGTATATATATACATATATATGTATATATACATACATACATATATACATACATATATATGTATATATATTTCCCCTCCACAATTACAAAGTTGTTCATGATTGGGTTTCCGTCACAGTGCTCCAACATCCGTCCCTTCAGTGTGGTTCAGAATGAGAGTAGTGATGTGGGAGGGCTCAGAACATCATGGACCAGCTGGGGAGAGTCCTCCCAGAGGTATGAGCAGTAGACGTGAGATGATTGGCCATCATAAATCTGAGCATTTGTAGGGCGAGGTGGTGCTGAGAAGCCAGGTAGTGCCAGGGATCAAGCCAAGGTCAGCTGCATGTGTGTACCTTAACCCATGTCGTAAAATCCAGGTGTGTCTGAAACCTTGCCCTCTAGCTTAATGACATAAGCTAATTTTATTACTTTAGAACCTGAATTGGCTTTGCTAATACTGTTTATTGGTATTTCAGTAATTCAGTAGCAACCACAATGAAATGTTTCATCCCCTACAAGTGAAAAATATAAGTTTGTTTGCTTTCTGCCTTTGTTTTTGGAGTCACACCCACAGATCAGTCCGGAGAGGCTGAGGGCACCGTATGAGGAAGTCGGGACTGAAGCTGGCTTGGCCATGTGCGAGGCAAGCGCCCCATCTACTATACAATCTCTACAGCCCCGAATTTTGCTTTTGTTTATTTGTATGTAAAACAATTGCTTTATTTATTTAAAACTTTATTTTTTATTTTATTTATTTATTTTTGCTTTTTGGGTCACACTCAGCGATGCACAGGGGTTACTCCTGGATCTGCACTCAGGAGTTACTCCTGGCAGTGCTCAGGGGACCAGATTGGCTGCTGGGAATCGGCCGTGTGCAAGGCAAACGCCCTACCCACTGTGCTATCGCTCCAGCCCCCAACAATTGTTTTTTTTTTAAAAGCACCGCCAGGAGTAATTCCTGAGTGAAGAGACAGGAGTGACCCCCCCAAAAAACCCCCAAAAAAACCTGTTTTGAAAATCAGATATGATTTCATATCATTTCTAACACATTCATCTCTTTGATTCTGTAAATTTAGTGCATTAATAACAAATTTGTTACATCTGGTCTGTCAACCTATCTGGTGAATTCTAGTCATTCACTGTGATGCATTTTCAGGCACTAAGTGGGCTTTGGTACGTTGGTTGATAATGGTCACTGTCACTGTCACTGTCCTCCCGTTGTTCATCAATTTGCTCGAGCAGGCCCGGTAACGTCTCCATCATTAGACTTGTTGTTACTGTGTTTGGCATATCGGATACGTCACGGGTAGCTTGCCAGGCTTTGCCCTGCAGGTGAGATACTCTCAGTAGCTTGCCGGGCTCTCTGAGAGGGGTGGAGGAATCGAATTCGGGTTGATAATGTAGGAGAGTTTAATTGGAGACCAGTCCTATTTTTAAAAGAACTTTTAAGTGAATTCCCCTCTTATCCTCCATTATTACCACTGTACTGGAAATGTGAGGAAAAGTACCATGAAAATATTACAGTTAGAATCATGGATGGCTTCTGTTTTGTAAATTGCCTTGGCTGGCACCTTCTCTGGGTGTTTCCCCAACATGAAGCTTATTAGTGATATCACAGCTAACTATGACAATAGGATCAGCTGGTATTGGATTAGTCCCAGTATTTCTTTATCCCTGCAAGAGAGGACTTTCCTGGATGAACAATGTGGTTCTATAAATGTTTAGTCACGGTCATCATCTTGAAACATGTGCGGCATGATTTCTAAAAGTAGAAATGTGCCTCACGGTTCTTTGTAATTTACTGCTTTCTGAGATCTCTGTCATTTATTATTAACTTATTAATTTAGAGAGTACAAGCACCTCTACAAATAAACAAATAAGCACAGGTGCTTCTCTTTTTATGAATTAGAGTGCCCTAGGAGTCCCATCTCTGGCCAACATTAACATTTTTATTTCTTGATGTGAGGAGGAGGTAGGGGGTGGTGCTCAGGGGCTATTCCTGTCTCTGTGCTCTGGAGTGACCCCTGTGGTAGTGTTGGAAGCTGGGGTCTGTGCACGCAGGCAAGCCTCTTCTCTTCTTTCTCAGGGTCCCTCAAATGAACATTTTAAAAAATGATTTGAGATTTAGACAAAGCCAATTGAATTTTTTGTAAATAGATTGTCATTCACAATTTGTGCCAGAAGAGTAGTAATAATATTTGATAAGTACATTTCAAGCTTAGAAATACCTTAATCTTTAAAAAAATCTACTTTAACAATTACCATTGATTAGGTCAAATGCTGGGTTCAGGTAGATTCTTGAGATGTGTTTTTCCTGTAACCCTCCTACCAATCCTAAGAGTCTTACCGCATCCATATATTACCTTTGAAGAGGCTGAGAAGAAAGGAATCTAAAAGGAACAAAGAAAAAGTCAGAAAAGGAGAGAAAGTGTTTCAGAGTCACACTTACCTTGCCCAAATACCAGAATCATGAAATAAGAGGGGATGCTTGAGTTAGTAAACATGGAAAGTGAATGATGATGACAGGGAATAATTCAAATTATACAATGCTCTGGGTGGAGAGGTCTACCAGAGATGGCCAACTAAACTCCGGGCTGCCTCTGGACATTGACCTGTATGCCCTTGGTCTCTGGTTTCATGTGCTACAATTCTCATGGAACTGCACAGATAGATGCTCATTTCACTTCCTGCTATGCCATCTTTGTGAGTTCCACATTCTCCCTATTATCGTTGGAGGTATAAGTGTAACTTTAAAAAGCCAAGATGGGCCTGTGTCTGCATTTTCCTGGGGTATCTAGTGTTTCAATGGAACTAGACTCACCCTAACATTCAGTTAACTCTGCGGGGGGAGGGGGGTGTCCATGTGCCTTCTGGTGGTGATGTCCAGAATTTCCTTATTCCTGTGGTGGAATAATACTTTGACATGTTCATCTTTTACCTCCCTATCTTTCTCTTTCCACTGAAGCAGCAAGTAGCTCCATGATCACTGCAGGGTGCAGGAGGGGTAGGGCATGAGGTGGGCAGAAAGCAGAGGACACATCTTTCTGACTTTTGTTTCCCAAAGCCCTGAATCTTTAGAAGAAAGAAGTTTATAGGTCTGACAAAAGTTTTGGACAAAAGAAACAATATCTTCGAAGATGGAAAAACTGAAATAAGTACTCTGGTTAGCAGGGGTAAGGGAAGAACACACATACACATGTACACACACATGCATGCACACACACATCACACACACATACACACTCACACATACATGCATATACACACTCACACATACACAAGTGCTTTCTTAGAGTATTAAGATTCTGGAGTCTTAAGAGTATTAGAATCTGGGGCCAGAGAGATAGTACAGCAGAGAGGGTGCTTGCCTTGCATGCAGTTGACCTGGGTTTGATCCCTGGCACCTTTTATGGTCCTCTGAGCCCTTCCAGAAGTGATCCCCGAGTGCAAAGCTAGGCATAACCCCGGAGCACTGCCAAGTATGTCTCCAAAACCAATAAAAATAGTATTAGAATCTGGGAAAAGGCAGTGGAAAAAAGTGAAGAAAAAAAAAAGACCATTGAAAGACCGATATTAAGTAAAGGTATCTGTATACCCCCACTTTATACTTATCCTGATGAAATAGGGGCTCAGAATCAGAAATTTTGTTGTTATTGACAACAGATTTTATCTCCAGTACAATTGAGTTTATGTGTGGAGATTTATACCTGCCAAATTAGTTTTGTCATGAGTGTAGCTATAATTATGTTCATTAAAGAGTTATGGCAAGCAAAATGGAAATAATGTGGTTTGATAAAACCACTTATAACCTATATATGTATGTGAACCATTCATACATACACTCATTATTCATGGGGCATAAGAGGTAGTATAGAGACTAAGGCACTTTTGCCTTGCATGCAGCTGACCTTGATTCGATCCCCGGAACCATATATCGTCCCTTGAATACAGGGCTGGAATGATAGCACAGCGGGTAGGGCGTTTGCCTTGCACGTGGCTGACAGGACCAACGCACGTTCGATTCCTCCGCCCCTCTTGGAGAGCCCGGCAAGCTGCCGAGAGTATCTCACCTGCACAGCAAACCTTGGCAAGCTGCCCCTGACGTTTTTGATATGCCAAACACAGTAACAAGTCTCACAATGTTACTGGGCCCACTCCAGCAAATCAACGGGAGGACAGTGACAGTGAATACAGAGCCAGAAAATGACCCCTAAACATAGAGCCAAGAATGATCCCTGAGCACTTCTGGGTGTGGCCTCCACCAGAAACAACAAAATATTACTTATGAAATGATTGCTTGAAATCACACAAAGTTGACCAAAATAAGTGAAAATATAAGAATTAGAGAATAATCCTTGCGCAGGGGCCATGCTAATCTTCTCTGTATCGTTCCATTTTTAGTATATGTGCTGCCGAAGCTACCGAGAGTATTCGATATGCCTGACACAGTAACAACAAAGTCTCCAATGGAGACGTTACTGGGCCCGCTCGAGCAAATCGATGATCAACGGGAGGGCCTTTACTTTACTTTACTAGAGAATAATCAGTTATGAAAGAAAATTGTATAGACATAAAGAATAAGCTTGAAGTGGGAGCTAGATATATACTACAGGGGGTAAGGTGTTTGTCATGTATGTGGTCAATCCCAGATCAATTCCTGGCACTGCATATGGTTCCCTGAGCCCTCAAGAATGACTGATAAACACAGCGCCAGGAGTAAGCCCTTAGCACTGCCAGATGTGACACCTCTAAAAGAATAAGCTTGAAGATTATATGTTGCATGATGTAATTTTATTTTATCTTTTATATATTTAGTTCCTGATGTTCTAAAATAATATTCCTTTTATAAATTATAGAATACTATGCTATTTGCTTCTCCCATAATGGTATGGTGATTAGAATAGTCATTTCTTCCCTTGCCAGCCTATTTTTGTCAAAATGATGCTTAAAACAAGACCAGAAGGTGGAGAAAGAGAAAAAGAGTAAAAAAGTTAAAACATAAAATGAAAAAACTGAAAAATTAGGAAAACATATATGATGTGGATTACGTAAAAATGACAATATCATTATATTTTTTTGTAGCAGTGTCTGATATACAGTTAGAACTTAGCAAATAGGGATCAGCACTAAAACCAAACAAGGAAAGGGAATTATCTGGCACTTGTGAATATAAAAAAGGGCAAAAGAATCTCTAGATTATGAATGTGATACATTTTCTAAAGAAAACATCAGTAGCCAGGGCCAGAAAGATAAGGATTAAGACACTTGCCAGGAGTGTAGCTGACCCAGGCTTGATTCCTAGCAGCACATATGGTCCCCTGAGCACCACCAGGATTGATTCCTGAGCACATATCCAGGAGTAAGAACTGATCATAGCTAGATGAGGCTATCCCCAGAAATCAAAAGAATAATAATAAAAATTAAATAAATGAAACACTGGTAGCCAGGGAGATAGTACAATTGTTAATGCAGTGCATGTAGCTGGCTCAGGTTGAACCTTGGTACCTCCTGGTCCCAAAACACTGCTGAGTATGACCCTCCCCCTCAAAAATGCTCCCAAGAAATATGGGTAGATTATTTAAGGAAATCCAACATATAGATTATTAAAGGTCAGACTGGGTAAGAATTTATTATCATAGAATAGTGGAATATTCTTTTAGAAAATAGGATGAGGAATTATGATTTTGACTTGATAATAAAATTAACATTTTAATAATATGAATATATTTCTAGTCTAGAAATAGACTAGATGACAAGCACATTCTAAGGACAACTATAGGGCAACTTTATTCTAAGGAAATAAAAATTAAATATCGTAACATGTTTAATTTGAATCATTTTACATATCAAAAGTATTGCTTCCAGTAATTTCCAGTTCTTTTCTATATTTACTAACAAATGTATGATAATCAGAGCAGGACATTTAAAACCACGTCTCAATATTAAGCTTTTAAATACTTCCTAGCATCTCTCAACAAATATATATGTATAATTATGATTGTAAATCACAGTAGTGACGAATTGAATTGCATCAAGTAAATTCCACTGAGAAACTCTCTTTATTGTACATACTAGAAGACAATGACTTTACTTTCAGCTGTTACCTTAAAATGGAAAACACACGGAATTTTCATTGTCATAAAACAGTAGCTCCCTCCCTGCTCACCGTTTCTCGGTCTAACTTTTAAAATCTTACTTACCCTTGGGAACGTCACTGAGTTTATTTCTCTGAAGAATTAGTACCTTTAGAAATGGAAACCCATGTCTCAAGCTGCTTCCGTGACGCTTCACAGCTGAGGACTCAGGGCTGGATAAATCCAGGTCCACGGAGTGCAGGGCATTGTTGCTGAGGTTTAGTATTTCCAAAGCATGTAAATGTACCAGGGGGGATAAGGTGATTTTAAGTCCGGGATTGTTCCTGAGTACCGCACGTTTTATATTCTGTTCTTTCTTTTCCATGGGAGATTGTAAGAGAACCCTGAAGAAATTGGAACTTATATCCATAGAGTTTTCTTTCTGTGGTACGTTTACAGGTATATCATGCTTTCCAGTAAAAGAACAATTTGTCCAAGGATATCCATTCCTCTGGCACTCAGAATTGGGGAAAATACTGCTTTTTCTTGATGGGGTTGTCATTGTCCCGGTAAAATTAACACCTATCATCATGATAATGACTCTGATACTCAGGTATTTCATAATGCCTGGAGAAGGAAAATGAATGAACTTATTTTAAAAAATAACTCACTGTAACTGCAATGAAAAAAATTAATTTTTCAAGATATGGGGAAGTTATCTTCATTCCCAATTTAAGTGAACGATTAATTTCTTAGAATTGAGAGATAAAAATATTGCTAGCATAGTATAAAATTATATTTCTGTCACATTTCTAAGAACCACCCCCCTGATTATTTTCAGAAAACACATTTGGGCCTCACCTTTGTCTCCCTTCCAGTATCATTCAGCCTGCAGTCTGCTTTGGACGGCCACCAAGATTTCGATTTCTCTCCTTCGTCCCTGTCACCAGCACCGAGCAAAGTCTAGCACTTATCTAGAGCATTGGAATCGGCTACGTAATTTATTGCAGGAATGACAACCATTGAGTCACACTAAACAATTCTGCAACTGTAGAGTGGAAGGTCCACTTTACCAAAGAGACCATTGGCCTATTTTTAACTCTAAGACTAGAAGAACTACACGCTTGGTCTTTATGACATCAAATCATTTAAAATCATTGATATGTGCAACATAAATAATACATGTCTTAGAATGCTTTGCCTCAGAATCATGAGGATATGACATGTAGAAATGTTATCTGTCCTACCAAAGACTTCTTTTTAAAAGGGAGGAAAGAAGGGTTTCACCACACCAGGAGGTATGGGGGCTACTTGTTACTCATAGCCCCTGGCAGTGCTTAGGGGACCCTACATAGTGCCGGGGATCTAACTGTGGTTCAGGCACATGCAAAGCAAGCTCTTTAACCCCTGTACCATCTCTCCGGTCCCTTTTCCAAACATTCTTGAATCCATAAAAAATAGAATTTATAGGGTAAGAGAAATAGTTTAGGAGGTGAAGTGTGCGCCTTACATGTCGCTGACCCTAATTTAATCCCCAGCAACTCCTACGGTCCCCTGAGCACAGAGCCAGGAGTAGCTTGTGAGCACAGCTGAGTGTGGCCCTGCTCTCGCCACCCCCCTCCCAGTCTATAAATCTCAATAGCTAAAAGGAGATACAAAAAAAAGGAACTTTAAAAGGAAACTAATACCTTGAGCTCAGTTAGAAACAAGGAACAACTGAGGCTGCGGAAGACCATTCCAAGAGCTGGAGGCACACGCCTACCTCAGAACTGCAAAGCCTGAACCTCCAGCACCACTGGGGTGGACCCAAACAAACAAAAATGTAAATAATTGCAGTAGTTACACACTTTCCCACTTTATTTAGCACATGGGTTTATAACAAAGAGTTCCCTTGGGTTCTACCGGCACCATGATCATCCCAATCACTAGATGTCATTCATGAGAATGACTGTTGTCCTGCCACTGCCTTTAGATTCTTAGTCTTGGTCAACCCTATGCTAATCCAAAGGTTTCTTTTAGCTGTAATATTGTTTCCCTCATTAATCACTACCTCAGTGAAAAATCCTCAAAGCGCTCCTCATTACCTAGACTTCACAGCTTTGTATTAATGAGCTAGCCTTTGAACCACTTTGGTTAAATTCCTATGGAATTAGCTGGACCTGAGGATAGCACTATCTATAGAATTCCCAGGGTAGTGCTAGCTCGGAGTTCATTCTCAGTTCCAAACTCATTGTTTTCTCTCCCCAGTCCAGAGTTCACATTCCAGTACCGCCTAATTCCATGACTGAAGACTTGTTTTCCAATTTTCACTCCCCCCCACACTTTGTCTTAAGAAAAATTTCAATACTCAAGTAAACAACTGAATCAATGCATATTCCTAACATTTAGTTTGGCAAAAAAAAAAAAAAACCGAAAAAACAGCACTCTCCTACATGGTTTGTGCTTGGCTTTGTGTCAATGAAGTACTTACTGTACTCTGGGGCCAGAGTGGTAGCACAGTGGAAAGGGTGTTTGCCTTGCATGCAGCCAACCTGGGTTCGATCCCCCAGAATTCCGTATGGTCCCTGAGCACCGCCAGGAGTAATTCCCGAGCGCAGAACCAGGAGTAACCCCTGAGCATCGCTGGGAATAACCCAAAAATTCAAAAAAAAAAAAAAAAAGAAAAGTACTGTACTCAAGAGACAATATATAGAGCCAGAGATCTATGGAGATCTATGGTCAGCCTTGTGCAAGATCCATAAATAATGACAGTGTGACAGAATGATATACATATTTTTTGCACTTAAAATACTCCCAAACATCATCAGCTCCTAGAAGGTCATGTCTCTGAGATTCTTTTCTCTTACTTCCCCATCTTATATTTGAATGGCCTGACCATGGCTCTCCTGTTTGACAGCAAATAAACAAATAGGTCAATTCTCCCATACACACACACACACACACACACACACACACACACACACACACATACATATATATTGTTTTGGGGTCACACCCAGCAATGCACAGGAGCTACTCCTGGCTCATGCACTCAGGAATTACTCCTGGCGGTGCTCAGGGAACCATATAGGATGCTGGGAATTGAACCTAGGTTAGCCGCATGCAAGGTAAAAGCCCTACCCGCTGTGCTATTGCTCCAGCCCAATTTTCCCATATTTTTGAAGGGTATTTAGATTCAGGGACACCTAGCCATGAATTGCCCAGTTGCCTGACTGCATGGAAGACTGATTTTTTCAATAGTGTGCTACTTATGTAATACCAGAAACTGAATTCATTTGTGTTGCTAGAAAGATACTTGTTTCTATATTCAAATTTGCAATCATACTGTATGGAATTAAATCGCATTCTATACAATATAGCAACGAAGCAAGTAGTCATCATTCACAGGTACATTAATTTTAGTATTGAAGTGAAAGGTGGTTAAAAAGATTTTTTTCTCAGGGAACATGTTATTAATTTACCTGGGTCTAAGTTGAACAGATTTAAAATATAAATATATTTAAATCAAAACAGCTAATAAGAATAATCTTATGTAGGGGCTAAAGCCTACATAATCTTATGTAGGCACAGTGGGTAGGGCGTTCGCCTTGCACGCAGCCAACCCGGGTTTGATTCCCAGCATCCCATATGGTCCCCCAAACACCACCAAGAGTAATTTCTGAGTGCATGAGCCAGGAGAATCCCCTGAGCATCGCCGGGTGTCACCCAAAAAGAAAAAAAAAAGTCTTAAAGCAGTATTAATTTTTGTTTGTTTTGGGGCCTCTTCTGGCAATGCTCAGGGTTCTCCTGGTTCTGCATTCAGAAATCACTCCTGGCAGTGCTTAGGAGATCATATGGGATGCTGGGATCAAACCTGGATCAGTTGCAACTAAGCAAGGACCTTATCGGTTATACTCACTCTCTGCCCCGCCTCTCAAGTGGGAAATTTATTTTTTTTTTTTTAAGAAACATATACATACACACCAACATGTATATGTTAAGAGAGATAAGAATTCCAGAGAAACATTTCTGAGGAACTTGGAAACAATTAGGCAAAATGTCAATCTTTAAATGAACATATGCAGATTAAAGTTTAAGGAAGTAGTTAGAAATACTGGGTGTGTGTATGGATGTGTGTGTCCTGCATGTGATAGGGAGGGGTGGGAAAGGAGGAAGTGGGAGAAAGGAGGAAAGAGAAGAGAGGAAGAGATGACAGAAGAAAAAAGGCAGAAGAGTAGCACCTACTTTTTTGTATGAATGAAAGACTAACAAAACTCATTTTTTTGAAAAGCAGAAGACAATTAAAAAAAAACACCAAGTACAAAAGAATACAACAGCTGTGTTTTTAAGGCGTACCTTGTACCTTATGATCCGTAGGTACTTCTCAATTGTTCTCTACCTGAATAAAGCCAGGTGAAGGCTTTACACTTGAGCTTTGAGGCTCCACCCATTGGTGGCCAAGCTTCATTCACCCTTTCATGCCCAGGGTCCAGCCTTTTGCACTGGTGACTGCCTAAACATTCCCCCAAGTAGAACATAAAGTAACAAAATAGGAGACTAACACACAGAAATGGCCGAGATTAGTACCTGGAATTTTGCTCCATGGCTTGGAGGCCAGCTACACATGCTAGGGGGAAAGGGAGCTCAGATAGAGAAGGGAGCACCAAATAAAGGGTGTTCGGAGGATCCTCCCAGGATGGAAGAAGCATGCTGAAAGTAGACTACAGACCAAACATGATTGCCACTCAATGACTCTTGCAAACCACAGCACCCAAAAGGAGAGAGAGAACAAAAGGGAATGCCCTGCCACAGAGGGATGGGGGTGGGGAGGGATACTGGGATCCGTGTTTGTGGAAAATGGGCACTGGTGGAGGGATGGGTACTTAATCATTGTATAATTGAAACCCAAGCACAAAAATTTGTAAGTCTACAACTGTACCTCATGCTGTCTCACTAATAAAATTAAAAAAAAAAAAAGTAAAATAAATAAATAAACATTCCCCCAAGTAGAACAATTCACTCGTGGACAGAACTTCTAGCCTTGAGTTCTAGGATTCCAAAAAGTAACCAAACACTGATGATGTCACTGTCTCAATCTGTATTTTAATGCATCATGTGTATGTAATTAAGGGAGAACCCCCTGAATATTTTAATCACGAAGGGCCTGGAATATAGCTCAGTAATGAAGCACTTGCCTTGCATGAGTGATGCCCTGGATCCCATCCCCAGTGCCAGGAAAGAGAAATAAACAGCAAACAATTTACAGAATCTTTATTGTAAACAGAGGTCATTAATAGTTATTACAAATGGAACTAACCAAAACTCATGTTAGCAATCCAAAATAGAATTACAGGCTCATGTTTAACATGGCATTATTTGTAATCTCTGCCCCATCAACACTTCAAAAAACACTGTCAAAGTAATTGGCATTTCAATGGTCTATCTCTTTTTAACTTTTTTAGCACCTTAACATTCTCACCTTCTTAAAGAAAACCCTCAAAACTAGCTAGAGTGTTTATAATTTTATCACCAAAATAATAGTTTTGTTTTGCATAATGCAAAAAGAATACAAATATATCTAGTTTAAATACTATAGCTCAGTAACGGTTCTTTGGGTCATTCTGCATTTTTGTTATCTGCCTATTAGAGCGCCTCTAAAACATCTTGCCTTCATTTCATCTATCCCCTTTGCAAACAAGCATGTATACGCCGCCCTGCCCTCTCTTCCTGGAATCTGTCTTCATCATCTACCTCCCCACCCCAAGCCCAAACCTTGTCACATCCATGCTCAGTGCTAAGGAGGAAAAAAACAGCAGCCCTTGAGTGTCTAGAAAAATACCATCTGGTAGTGAGAGTGAGTAGCTGAGGCTTGACTGACAGGAAAAAGAAGTGACAGGTCAACGGACAGGCTGTTAAGGTTCTGCTTTTCAGTGAATTTTCCAGGTGAACACTTAGGGGACAAGCAAGGCCTATGAACCTGTAAAGTGCCCTAAAATATTATACCTGTTTCTTCAACAATCACTTCTATAAAAACCTCAAAAGAGCCTCTCTTGTCAAAAGCACTTAATGAACATGTATCAAAACAAGTATTTCTCAGAGAGGAGTAAAAATAGATTATTTCATGAATAATAGTATGGTTTTAATAAATAATACTTTGTAACATAGCATTCCGTGGTTTCAGTAAAAAAAAAACAACCTCAACCTCAAAACATATCTAAATAGAGAGAAGAAGGAATGAATATACAATTTAAAAATATTCTCATCACCTGAAAATTTCAATGGATTTTTTCCCCCTGAATATCATTCAGATACAGACAATACTGGAACACATTCAAAAGGGTTCTGAATACTACAACTTATAAGTTATGCTCGAAAGTCATGAATTTCATTCTCTTTTCCTTCATTTCAAAGCGACACTCAGCAGTAAGTAGTAAACCAACCTTGACTTCAATGTACTGCAGAGTACTTGAAATCTCTGAGACATTTGAAACATTTTTTTTAAATCAGTGCAAAAAGACAATATTGAATGCAAACTAGTTTTTGATTGCTTTTCTTATTTATTGAAATGAGTTCCCTGGAAGACAAATACAAAATACATTGAAAATAAAATGGCACGAGTCACAACTCATTAGAAAGGTGACATGAGGAGCAGATCAACTCTCACAGTGTTTCCTAAAACGGGGCACACATAAAAGAGAGGGTGTCTGCATGGCACCCGGGGCACCTGTCTGGAGCCCTGGCCTGCATTCTTCCCGCTGCTTCCTGGACGGCTGAGGGGAGAGATTTTACACACTCAGGTATGCTGGGTGCACGGTCCATCAACTGGGAGACTGGCTCGAGCACAGCTAAGCCATATGACCTCTCTAGAGCCCACATAATATTGAGGAATTCACATAAGATAGTTTAAAACGAGACAGTGATCATTCATTTCTTTGATAATGTGGTTGCTTTATTTTCTTTCAACTAGAACACTATTTTTATTCTTACCTGCTTATGTGAGTAAAAATTAGTCTTTGTTTATCTTTCTGGTTTTGTTTTTTTTTTTTTTTGTCTTTTTGGGTCACACCCGGCAATGCTCAGGGCTTACTCCTGGCACTGCACTAAGGAATCACTCTACTCCTGGCAGTGCTTGGGGGATCGACCATATTGGAGCACTGGGACTGAACCCTGGTTGATCCTGGGATAGGCAAGTGCCTTCCCCACTGTGCTACCGCTCAGGCCCCCTCCCCTTTTTTCTTTTTTGCTTTTTGGGTCACACCCAGCATTACACATGGGTTACTCCTGGCTCCTGCACTCAGGAATCACTCCTGGCGGTGCTCAGGGGACCTATATGGGATGCCGGAGATCAAATCTGCGTCGGCCATGTGTAAGGCAAACGCCCTCCCCGCTGTGCTATCACTCCGGCCCACCTTTCTGGTGTTTTAAATAATGAAAACTTCACTGCAGTGATGGGGAACATCATGTTTGGAAGCAAGTGTAACTAAGTTTAAATCACAAAAGAATTCCAATCTTGTCCCCACCACTGCCATTTACTATGTCACATGGAGGCAAGGAAATCTCTGAACCTTGCTGATCCTGTTTCCTGAAGGGCACAACTGGGTTCATCACACCTAGTCACAGAGCTGTGGGGAAAAGTAAGAGCGACGTGCAAAGCCTACATAATGCTTAAATGTATAAAATACTCAATAAATGACAGCTATGACCAGGGACTAGTGATCAAACTCAGTGGCAGAGCACATGCTTGGCATGTAGGATGCCACCCTGGGTTGGATCCCTGGCACCACTAAAAAAATAATAATAATAATAAGTTATAATTAAAAATTAAATATGAGATTTTCTATCACAATGCGAACGCTTAAGGCTTATTATAAGTCAAGGAAGCATCCTTTTCGAGCATTATTTTTTTTCCTTGTGCAAAACCAAGCAACCAGTCTCCTGCCATTCCACAACCATGAAGCTCTTTAGTGAATCACTGGCATGTGGGAATGTGGCTGAAAGTTGATGCTGTAAAATCTGTCTTTCTCAGAAGCCAAGAGACAGCGCATGTAACATTTTTCAACGGTGTACCATTTAAACATCGTAAGTGGACCTAGAGCCACTAGTTACTAAAAAAGAATAGTGAATCTAAACAATTGCTTCAGCCCCTTATCCTTTAGACAAAGAACTGTGGGATTTTATTTCTATATTATTTATATTTTGGGCTACGCCTGTCAGTTCTCGAGGGTTGAGCCTGACTGAGCTTCGGGACCATGCGGTGCCAGAGGTCTGACCGGGGCCCCCAAGGTGCCAAGTGTGAGCTCAGTTCATTGAGCTATCTCTCCGGCCCAAGCAACTGTGGGATTTTATTCTTCTGGTGGGTGAGGAAGTTTTGGCCACACTCAGGGTTTACTCCTGGCTCTATGCCCAGGGGACCAGTTGAGGTGCCCATGGTTGAACCAGGTTACCTGCGTGCATGGCAAGAGCTTTAACCTGAGGATTTGTGGGATTTTAAATACACTTCTTTACAAATTTAACTTTGGCTGATTTGGGTTCTTCTGATAATTATTTTAGAGATCTTTAATTTGCAGTTAAGGTGAAACTTAAGGAAACCTATTAACATATAGGCCCTTTTGAATACGGAGACACATAAAAAGTCGTGATCTGCAGGGGACTCGGAAAATACTTTGGAGTTATCACAAACTCTGTAAAAACATGATTTGCATGCGCTCTTTAAAAAAGTCAAGACATGAGCATCCTGACAACCTCTCCGCTCTTCTAGTGAGTGTTTCCGCAGGGGTTATCGGAGACCTGGCAGCCCATGTTCTGGCCGGTCACCAGCACCTTGAAGAGGGTCCCGTCGGCACACACGCACAGCTTGTAGCGCACCCAGTCACCGCTACCAAACTGATCAGCACCAGAGGGGCTGGGCAGGCGAGTGGGGCTGACCATCACAGTTCCATTTAGGATGATGCTGTTCTCCTGTTAAGAGTAAAAGAGATTTATTTACCTCCATGAGTGGGGCTCAAATCAACAGACAAAGGTCACTAGAATATTAACAAAAGGAGAGAGAGAGAGAGAGAGGAGAGAAGAGAGGAGAGAGAGAGAGAGATGTCAAGACCAACACAACAACAAGAAAACAAAACCAATGTCAAAGGTTCCCAGTGGGGACCTCTTAGTAACAGTCCATCATGTTATCAATACACCTGAAACAATCTAATTCTGTTAACATTACACCAAAATTCCCACATACAAATGGAGGTTGATGAGGTCTCAGACAACTTTCATTCAGTAGTTCCTAAAGGGTTACCACAAAGTTACTAAAAGGTTTCTGATGATGAGAAAAGATTCCCTTTCTTCTAGAGAGGATTAATGTTAATTTCCAAACTTCTGGGATACCTCAAAACCTTCATCTTGGAGGGTAAGACATGCTCTGTCTTCAAGTACAGCCAACCTTCGTGGGTAGTAAGCTCTTAAAAGCCTTTATTTTTAGGAACTCTGAAGCCTTCTCTACCTTCTTTCTTCCCTCTTTTTATTTTCAGTCAATTATAATTATTGGAAACTACTTTTATTTGGCTTTTTTGGGGGGTCACACTCAGCAGTGCTCAGGGGTTACTCCTGGCTCTACACTCAGGAATTACTCCTGGTGGTACTTGGGAGGACTATATGGGATGCCAGGGATCGAACCCAGGTAAGCAGCGTACAAGGGAAATGCCCTCCTCGCTGCACTATCACTCCAACCCCTCAAATACTATCTGCTACCAGATTCTACTTGAGGCACTGGAGAAAAAGCAGCAAACAAAATTAAGGATCTCAGAGAGTTAAATATTCAAAACATAACAAAACAAAACATAAGAGAGAAACAGTTGGAACAAAAACACATCCATGGGATGTGCGCTCTGAGAAAAACGCCTCAGAGAGAAAAAGCAGGTAGGGGATCAGGGGCACAGAAGTGAGCAGAAAGGCCTTTCAAAAGCCAAAGGCCACCATCCAACAGGCGCTGGGTGACACGTGGGAGTTTGTTGCGGGCGTCTTTGGGAAGGAGCCACTGGGCAGAGGAGAGCACACACGGGGACCTGAGGTGAGGATGTGTCTGGTGTTCCAGAGAGAGGGACGGAGGGCTCTGGACAGGAAAGTGATGTGATCCCTTTTCTTAAGAGGCTCACTCTGGCCGCTGTCCACAGGACTGAGGACAGAGACGAAAGGGTGGAGGCCGGGAGGTGGCAGCTGGGGTGACAGGAGCCAGGGAAGTTAAGGGCAGGGCCGGGGGTGAGAGCAGCAGTGACTGCCTGAGGTTACAGTCCCCTTGTGCTGACTGACAGACACTGGGAGTTCAATGGGAGCCCTGACGGTGCAGGTTTTTTTTTTTTTTTGTGGGAGGTGGGAGGATGTGAAAACTGAAAACACTCTGGGGGTCAGGGGCCTGAAGATGGGTGCGGAGACAGTAAGACCATGGGATCTGAGGACAGTGCTTTAGAAGTGCTTTAGAGGTTACAGCAGGAAGAGAGAGAGAGAGAGAGAGAGAGAGAGAGAGAGAGAGAGAGAGAGAGAGAGAGAGAGAGAGCGCTGCTGGGGATGGATTCATGGAAATGACGGGCTTAGTCACAGGACATGCAAGCAACAGAAGCCCAAGTGAGGAATGCTCCAATTTCATTCCAATGCTGCCATCTTGTGGTGAAAGAAATACTGATTCTTTGTAAAGATAAATGTTTTAAGAATAACTGCGAAGGGTCCTGAGATGGCTCAAATGGCAATGAATATGCCTATCAAATTCGAGTCACTGAGTTTGATCCCCAGCTTAAACATCTGGCATCAGGGTCCAAGTGTCACCAGGAATGTTCCCTGGGATTCTCTGAGCACTGCTTGGGAAGCCCCCAAATTAAAAAATTATAAGAAGCAAACCACCAAACTACCAATCTGAAATGAAAAAGTGAATTCTTTTTTTCTAATACAGGCTCATTTTTTTTAAACCGTGGAGAAACTGATGTGAGTATAAACATGTTTCTAAGACCTTTAATATTTGTCATACTAACAATGAGCAGAATTTTCAGGTTGAAAAAAAAAAGTTAACCTGCTAATGGCCACAGCTCAGCTCTCGCTTCTCTTAGTTCCCAGAGAAATAGCCCCACTCCGATTGTTACTCCCTACTCACCCAGACGTGGCTTCTGCCTTATCCATATACACGGAACACTAGTCACTGCTGCTACTGAGTTTCTGGCAAGAATCCCAGTTTATGGGGGCCAGAGTGATAGTACAGTGGGTAGGGCCCTTGCCCTGCATGTGTTCAGGCCAGATTCCATCCTCGACACCCCATATGGTCCCCAGGGCACCACCAGGACTGATTCCTGAGTCAGGAGTAAGCTCTGAGCACAGCTGAATGTGGTCCAAAAATCCAATGGGGGGGGGGGGGTGTAAAAAAAATCACATTTTATATTTGTCATTATAAGAAACTGGAACATGTATTTGGTGAGGGGAGCCTTTTATAGAAGTGAAATACTAGATTTTTTTTAAACATTTATTCTTTTGAAGAACTATTAAATTATTTTGGAGCGATAGCACAGCAGGTAGGGCCCTGCATGCGGCCGACCCGGGTCCCAATCCTCCACCCCTCTCGGGGAGCCCGGCAAGCTACCAAGAGTATCCCGGCCACATGGCAGAGCCTGGCAAGCTCCCTGTGGCGTATTCGATATGCCAAACACAGTAACAATAAGTCTCACAATGGAGACATTACTGGTGCCCACTCAAGCAAATCGATGAACAATGGGAGGACAGTGCTACAGTGCTATTTATAAGTCCTTAGATTCAGGGTTACTTTTGCCATTTAATGTTCAGTTAAATAAGCATAATTAGCTTTAATTAAGTAGTCTAAAATAGGAGGCCACTTTATGAATAAAATATCAACGTTTTGAATAAATATTTCAGCAGGAAAATGTTCTTAATTTGATGGTTCCTTTACATGAAATATAATATGTATTAAATTTAAATTTCAAATATAATCTGTGAGATACAAAGAAAATTACTTTTCAATAGCTGGAATCAAAGCAAAATATTTTTCCTTCATAAGAACAGAAACACATTTTATATATTTTCCCATCAATGTCCACATCACTAAATACAAAATAAGAAGAGATATCTTAAAAAAAAATTTTTGTCGGGGGAGGGGGGCAAACCTGGTGATGCTCAGGTATTACTCTTGACTCTGCACTCAGAAATTATTCCTGGCCGCACTCAGGGGACCATATGGATTGCTGTAAATCGAATCCACTTCCACGGCCAATGCCCACCCACTATACTATCATTCTGGCCCCTAAATTAACTGAAAACAAAACTAAAAACCTCCCAACAATTTCAAAGCATGGATATATTCACTTTGATCTTTCAGGAATTTTTTAGCAATTTTTTTCTTTGAAATAATGTGTTACACCCCTCCCTCCAAATAAAAAGAAAAGGGAAAAAGAAAACACTGGCAGAGAAATGAAAAGGAGTTTGTTGTTCTGTGACTTATCGCACTGCTGACTGTTGGTATACCCACTTTTAAAAATTATTTTTTTTTATTTTGGTTTTTGGGCCACACGAGGCTGTGCTGTGCTCAGGAGTTATTCTTGGCTCTGTACTAGGACCCTAGAGGGGATCAGATGTGGTGCTTTCACAGAGATGGCAGGTGAAACCTGGGTTGGCTGTGTTCAAGGCAAACACCTTCTGGGGCCTCCAGGTTTTTGGGGGGCAAGGTTGGGCACACCTGGAGGTGCTCAGTATATACTCCTGGTTCTGCACTTAGGAATCACTCCTTGGGAGGCTCTGAACTTCCAAGTTTTTATATTTTAAAAAAAAGTTCTAATAAACAAAATATATATAAAAATTTCAATGACATTTTACACTGAAACAGAACAAGCAATCCTAAAATCTTTGTGGGACAGAAAGACTGACTAGCCAAAGCAATCTCATATAAGAAGAACAAGACTGCAGGCATCACATTGCCTGGTTTCAAATGTATAAAACTATAGCAACAAAATTAGTGTGGGACTGGCATCAAACAGACATGTATATCAAAAGGTCAGAATAGGGAGCCCCCAAATAAGCCATAAATACATGATCAATTACTTTAGAGCCAAGCAGGTGGGGAATACAGAATGGGGAAAGGAACATCTCGTCAACAACTGGGGTCGGGAAATTGGACAACCACAAGCAAAGGAATGAAACTGGACCACCATCACATGACATACACAGTAATGAATTCAAATGGATTAAAGCCTGGAATTTAAGGCCTCAAATCATAAATCTTCTGGAAGTTAAACATGTCATAGGGTCCTGTCTTTGTGATGATTTTCTGACACCAAAAGGCAACATAAGCAAAAAACAAAAAAACCAAAACAAACAAACCAAAAAAAACCCCAACCAAGTGGGACAGTCTGTACAATGAAGGCAACCATGGAAGGAATACTGGGACTCGTGGTGGTGGAAAATGGGCACTGGTGGAGGGATGGGTACTTGATCACTGTATAACTTAGAAAGCCAAGCACAAAAATTTGTAAGTCTATAACTGTACCTCATGGTGTTTCACTAATAATAAAAAAAAATCAAAGGACAAGTTATTAAATGGGATAAAATATTTGCAAATCATATATCAGGTTAAAGGCTTACTAACCAAAATAATATTTTAAAAATAACCTCATACATTCCACAGCAGAACATAAATAATCTAATTACAAAGTGGACAGAGGCAACTGACTATAGACACTTTACCCTGAGTAGTTATTAAATAGAAGACACACAGATGGCCAACAAATACCAGAAAACATGTTCAACATAGCACAATGAGCTCTTAGCTCATATCTGCTATTATCTATCAAGAAGATTAAAAAAAAAAGTGAGGGTGAGGATGTGGAGAAAAGGAAGCCTCATTCACTGTGAAGGTATGAAGAGTGGTCCCATCACTATGAAAGACAGTTCCTCAGATAGAACTCCCACATGATCTCGCAATTCTGTGATCGAAAACTAACATCTGGAAAGTTATATGCAGCTCCTTGCTTGCTGCAAAAGCAATTCTGAAGGTTACGACAAGGAAACAACATAAGAGTCCATCCATGGATAAATGGATAAGCACAATGTGGTGCATAAAGACTGTTGCTAATCAATCCTAAGAGTAAACTCGGGACCAGCAGCATGGCACAGAGGTGGAGCACATACCTTTATAGGCTGAGGCCCTGGCTTTAATCCCTGGCACCACAAAAAGGGACAAGAACGAAATCTTGCCATTTGCAATGACATGCATGGACCCAAACTGAGAGCATTATGCTAAGTGAAATAAGTGAGATAAATTGCATATGACCATATATACGGAATCTGAAAAACAACAACAGAAGACCAACCTCATTGACACAGAAATGGATGGTTATAAGAGGTGGAGGGCTGGGGCAGAAGAGGGTGTGGGGTGGGGGGTGGGGGAGTGGCAGTAAATGAAATAGGTGGAAAAAGGTAGTCAAAAGGTACAAGATTCCTATTATAAAATACATCAGGATGCTATAGGCAGCAAGGTAAATACAGAAAATAATACTTCACAGTAGGAAGAAAGGTGCTAAGAGAAGAGTTTTTAAAATTCTAATTACAAGAGAAAGATTATGTGGCATGGGAATGGCTATTAACTAGATCTATTGTGGGGATCATATTCCAGCGTACACAAATGCCAATGATTACATTGTACACTTGAAGCTAATATAAGGCAATATGTCAGCTATACTTGAACACTGGCAGGATGAGACGCACATGGAAGTGCACATGTGGTCCCAGTCTGTGGAAGAAAGAGGGGCTGGGAACACACAGCCTGACTCGGCAAGTTCCCAGGAGACAGCCACCAGGGCATCCAAAGCCACTTCACACCAATCCCATGCCACTTTCTTTTCTTTTTTGAGGGGGTTACACCCAGCAATGCTCAGGGGTTAGTCCTGGCTCATGCACTCAGGAATTACTCCTGGCGGTGCTCGGGGGATGCTGGGAATCGAACCCAGGTTGGCCACATGCAAGGCAAACACACTACTCGCTATGCTATTGCTCCAGCACCCCCCCGCCCCCATGCCACTTTCTAAGGGAGAAAAAAACAAAAGCCATACAGGTACTCTGACACTTCACAGATTGTTTGGGACCTTTTTCACTTTACAACCCATTCTGAAATTTTTTCATGTGAAAATAATGTACTACTATGTTAACATTTTAAGTGATTAAATAGATGTATGTACCCAAGAATCTTATAATTCTTTATTTAAAAGTAGTTTTATTTGACTGAAGAGATAGTACAACAGTAGGGTGTTTACCTTGTTTGCAACTGACACGGGTCTGAACCGCGGTAACCCCTGAGCCTACCAGGAATGATCCCTGAGCACAGAGCCAGGAGTAACCCTGCGCACTGCTAGGTGTGACCCCACCCCTTCTCAAAAAAAAAAAAAATATATATATAGATAGTTTTATTTAGGAAGTATAAGAGAGGAGAAGGAGGAAGAGAGACACATGGAGAGTTTGTCACAAAGTAAAGAAAGAGAATTTATATACTGGGATGTAGGTGGCTCCAGAAAGCAGAGCCGTAGTTCTTTAAAGCTTAACAGATACTCACTGCCTTCAGCTCCATATTCCCACCCATGTGAAACTCGATGGTTTTCCCCATGATGAACACGCCTTCATTTCCACGCACAATAGCACGCCCATCAACTTTTATATTTAAGTCACTAGTAGCACTGCTGGTAATCTGAAAATAGTAAAAAGGAATTTCTAAGTTAAGTTGAAAATGATTAATTAACACAGAGAGGAAATAGCTTCCATTATGAAATATGGAAAGCAAGGTCTTTCATTTATGTTTCACAGAGGCTGAGAGAGATGACTTGATCACATAAACAAGTAAATAGCAAATCTAGAACAAATCTTTTCCATTGCTTTGGAATATGGAATATTTTCTTTCATGCCACTATGCCACAATGAAACGCCCATCCCATTTTGTAACTTTGGACAGTAATTCTCTCCCAATGACAAAAACAGAGAAAATTATACCCTTTCAGTCGATGCTTTTTGAACATTCAAACTTTTCACTCCACTTGGCAAATGAAACTCATGGTTTTCGTAGTCTGTGCTGAATAAGATGTTCTGAGTTCGAGGGTCGAAAAACTGCATGCCAATGTCACTTGTAATAGATGTTTTGTTCTTTTCTACACTGAGCTTTGTCGTTCCTTGCTGAAAAACAATCTTCAGAAAAAATAACTTGATCAATAATATGTTTTTACAAAAATTAATCGCAACAACTCAAATTCTTGGGAACTATAAGGCCCGCCCCTATGATAATCAGCCACTCCACTAATCTTGGGCTGGAGTGATAGCACAGCAGGTAGGGCATTTGCCTTACACGCAGCCAACATGGTCGACCCGAGTTCAATTCCTCCGCCCCTCTCGAAGAGACCGGCAAGCTACCGGGAGTATCTCGCCCCCACGGCAGAGCCTGGCAAGCTACCCGTGACATATTCAATATGCCAAACACACAATGTTACTGGGCCCGCTTGAGCAAATCGATGCACAACGGGAGGACAGAGACAGTGACCACTAATCTTAAGTCCGTGTGTCCCTCTTCCCCCTACCCCTTCACCCATGCAGAAGAAGAGCCGGTAAAACTAAAATCAGGTCTTCTGTGTAGATTTGTGGGTGCTGCTCTTATGAAGGAAGACAAGGGTCATGCCCAGTGAGTAAGATAAGGGAGCAAACTGAGTAGAATCTTGAGTCCACTCCCATGGGTACAGCAACCACCAATACGGCTGCAGAGAATAGACCCTCACATTCTCCTGACTCATGAGCACAGACGCTTCATGACCCGGAAAGGGGCTCATGGGGAGAAGAAAACAGCAAACCACGCATTCTGCCAGCCATTACATCTACCACAGAAAACCCAGGAAACTAAGAGAGCATGTAACACTCTTCAATGATGATCTGGTCAACATTATAAAATATATTTATTTGTTCTCCTCGAGGGAAATACCCACTTCCCATAACCTCTCAGTTTCCCCAGAGACCTTTTTGTCTAGAGCCCCTCAAGCCATGTGGTGACTTACAGGCTGGTTGTTGCCGGTGATGACAAGGTTTTCGTTCCGCCTTCCTCCTACCGTGCTCTTATAGAGCGGATGGATGACTCCCATGTCAGAGACTTGCTTGAAGCGGAGCAGCCCGCTCTCATGAAACTCCATGCTGTCACAGCCATTTGGCCCAATGCGAATCACCGCCCAGATAACGAGGGTTATCTGAAAGAGAGAAGCGGCCCAGGACTAAGGGGGAGCACGCGCTTCACCCTGGACAGGCAGAAAACATCCCTGGCTTCAACTCTCCAACGTGGGAGCATTAGTGATAAACATTAATTGCCTTTTCGTTTGTAAAGGAAACCAATTTTATTTTGAAGGTCTCACATGCACACAGCTGAAAGTCAAACGCACTAAAAAGTGTGCATTCTTGAAAAAGAGTCGTTTTGTCTTCTCCAGCCTATCCTGGTACCAAGAGAGAACCACTGTCAACCCTGTCGGCTATTCTGCCTAGTAAATTTGCCCCCACATTTCAGTACAAGATTTGTAAACGGCTACTCATCTCTCAGGTCATATCTATTAATTTCCCATTTTAGAAGATAAGGCGGGCTGGAGCGATAGATAGCACAGCAGGTAGGGTGTTTGCCTCGCATGCGGCCGACATGGCCAACCCGAGTTCGAATCCTTTGCCCCTCTCCAAGAGCCCGGCAAGCAACCAAGAGTATCTCGCCCGCATGGCAAAGCCTGGCAAGCTACCCACGACGTATTCGATACGCCAAACACAGTAACAAGTCTCACAATGTTACTAGGCCCGCTTGAGCAAAATCAATGAAAAACAGGACAGTGACAGTGACAGAAGATAAGGGTTTTAGATCCTTTATTCCTCTCTCCCTCTACTCCAATCTTGTTTTGGTTAAAGCCATGTTCATTATTACTAGCAGGACAACCATAGAAAGTGTTCACCCCTAAACAAATCTCGCACCCCTAAGCAATAGTGTTTACTCCTTTCTAGAACTTTTTGCCCCTCAAGATTTAATTACGTGTCTCAAAAAGTGTCCTACATCCTTTCTACCCCCCAATACTGTGGGTGACATTTCCCCTTATGACATGCATTAAACACGAAATTCTCTCAGCGAAGGTATTTGCTCTTTTTCTCTCCAGGGCACCTTTCTGGAGCCTCTCCTTGCTATTCTCTGGGATTGTGTCCCCTGGGTCTCCTGCAAAACTGTGACCATGAACTTACCCCCCACTCTCATGAGGATGCTCCCTGCTGTCTTTCTGCTGTGTGGATGCCCAGCTTCCTGGATCCCTGTCCTTCTCTCTCTTAGTTTAGAGCCACCTGCAGTCAAAACAGTCTTCTGGGGCTTCTTACAACGAATATACACAATATAAAAAATTTTGAGTGTTTCATATTGTATAGATGGTGCAAGGCTAAAAAAAGTCTTGATAATTCCTCACATGTGACTCTTAGCCTAGCTTGGTGCATGTGTTTAGAGCAGAATAGGCTGGGGTTATATTCTTACCAAATTTGCAACACCCTTGCTTTCTTGTCTTCTATTTTCCAGCACTGCTTCAAAAAGGCCCAATTTTTTCCCCTGATACCTTGTTTTCTGATGTATTTTCTTCTGAAAATTGTTATGATCATTTGTTTTCATGGTCTTTTTTTTTTTTTTTGCTTTTTGGGTCACACCCTGTGATTAATAGGCATAGGGGTTACTCCTGGCTCTGCACCCAGGAATTACCCCTGGCAGTGCTCAGGGGACCATATGGGATGTTGGGTATCGAACCCAGGTTGGCCATGTGCAAGACAAACGCCCTACCCGCTGTGCTATTGTTCCAGCCCCTTATCATTTTTTTTTCTTAAGAGTTCACAGTAATGGTCTGTTTTTTTTAATGAATTACACTGTACCCAGATTGGCTTACAATGCTTGGAAATTTTCTGGGTTTACTTGATAACTTTTTCAGTTTTGTTTTTTTTTTTTTGATCTGGAACTACTAAAACAGAACCTTAGAGTTCCTGGAGTAAATCTAGAATCGAGCTAGTAGAATGTTCTGGAGGATTCCCTTCATCTTCCAGTATTTGTAAGTTCTTCCTTAATCTTTAACCCTTTAAAATGTCATGTCATTCACCTTTCATGGAAGCACTATCGTCCTCTCTTAAGACAATAATTTTCTGGATAAATTTTTTTTTCTTCTGTCATAGGTGCATTTCCCCTCTCCTATCTCCTAGAATTCTTACTTTCTCCAAAGTTTAAGTGTCTTGGCTTTTATCTTTAATTTAGAGCTTTACTCAAAACTATGATCGCTCCCTGGAGGCTCGAGGTTCATACTTCAGGGTGAAGTTTCCTGCAGACCATAAAAGTTCTCCTTGAGGGGCTGGAGCCATAGCGCAGCAGGTAGGGCATTTGCCTTGCATGTGGCCAACCCGGGTTCGATTCCCAGCATCCCATATGGTCCCCTGAGCACCGCCAGGAGTAATCCCTGAGTGTAGAGCCAGGAGTAACCCCTGAGCATCACCAGGTGAGACCCAAAAAGCAAAAAAAAAAAAAAGTTCTCCTTGAGGGGCTGGGATTTGAGACTGACAATCTTCGGGGTAGGCAGGGACTAGAAAGCTTTTTCACAGCATCTTTGGATTCTTCCCACCTCTATTCTCCAGAGAAGATTGATGCAGCCCTCCTGGGGCAGACAGGGCATGGTGCCAGGCCTCCAGACACGGAAGAAGAGAATATGGGGGCCTGGGAAAGGAGGTCACAATGCTCAGGATTCAGACTTTCGGTGTGGATGGCCAGGTACAGCCCCCTCTATGCCATGCCCGGCAGAAAGTGCCCTCTTGGGTCGGGTAGTCCAGACACACATGAGTTTTGTGTGGTAAAGGTTAAGAAGAGTAATTTCCTGCTGGCTGGAAGGAAGAAGAGGCTTAGGGATCTCAAGACTCCCTCCACAGATTTTTTTCAAACAAGCTTGTTGAGCCCTCTGCTCAGTCTTTTCCTTTTTTCCAATTCCCGAGTTCAATCAAGCTTTTCTAGGCTTTTGCCAGCAGGCACTATAATCCCTTCCCCATGCCTGCTCAGGCTGTTTCTCTTGCTTTCTCTGACAGGTTATTTATCATTCATTCATTCCTGTCTCCTCCTTGTCTGTATATATTGTGACTTGGGATTTACCTCCCACTAACCCACATTTGATTTAAAGCTTTATCAAAGAATACACTGATGCCTGGAGGTTTGGGGGCATACTTAATGGGAAGGGTGTGAGAGTTTCTAGAAAGTTCTCTAGGAAGGCCAGGGCTAGTGACCTGGGGAAGTCAGAGCAGGGAGACTAGGAGGCTTTGTTATGGGACTCACCAAGTGTCACCATCTCCAAATCTATTTCGGTTCCTTCAGAGAAAGAGAAATTGTCATAAACTTTTCAGTTTCTTTAGAGTGTCCTTCTGGATGAGCCTTTTTGAGAGAAAGAAGGGGAAAATGTCCTTATTCTACCATCTTAGTGAGAAGGCGTGAGGGGGATGAGGGAGGCATGGATCAGGAGACTCAGCCCCTGAGCACCCCCACCGCCTGGCCCTAGCAACTCTAGGCCAGTGAGTGGGTCCAGCAGTTCATTGCACGGGGCCTGAGGATGTGATGCTACTCGGGCGGCCTGGGTAGTGCCTGGGGCCTCCTAGACTGCACCTGGAGCTGTGGGGAGCACGTGGTGCCGGGCATGGAGCCTGGACTGGGTGGGCCCTAGGTGTCTTCCTGACCACTGCACTGTCTCCTGTCCCTGCCTGGCTATATGAGGCAAGGTGATTGAAAACAGAAAAGCTGATGTTTTTCAGAAGACTCGGTGAGGGCAATCAAATTATCCGGGCAGAGGTCTCTATTCCTGAGGTGATGCTACACTTTGAAAGGTTGGGCTGTTCAAAGGAAAACTCTGCGAAGACTTCTTTTAAATAAAATTAAAACATAGTAATATCAGTATACCAGATCTTATATACAAAATACTCTTTCAAATCCATCAGGCAAGGAAAGATAGGAAAGAGCAAGTAGAGTGTCCTGAAAGAAACTAGAGAAACGGAATCGACGGCAGTCACCAACACACAGATGATAAGTGAAAACAGTATCCTCCTACACTCTACTCACAATTAAATTGATGATGGCCAGGATGAACAAGAGGATAATGATGCAGATGGCTAGATTTCCCTTTCTCCCTCTCAGTCCTGTTTTATGGAGCCGGTCCTCATCGATCGGGATATAGCCAGCTTTAAAGTTGCTGTTGTGCTCTTTATTAACGTTCCTCCTCTCCACAGCTTTCTCACGCATGGACTTCTTCACTGGACCATTGGAACTCTGCAGAAACAAAATGCCACACGCTGACGCATACTCTTTCAAACACACTAAGGTGCGAACTCACAGCCAAAGACAGCTGAGTTGGTCATGGGGGCACTTTACATGAATACACTCCCAGTCACACTGGACTGCAATTTCCACAAGGACATCCCTGTGTTCAGAGGGAGGCCCGGGGAGGCCCGGGGAAGCCTCAAAGCCTCGGTGTGAGGTAACAACGTATCGTACACAGAGGTACTCTGTATTTTATGCTCTGCCTTCAATGGTCCCACAATCAGAAAGGGTGTGGCTCGTTGGGGTTGGGAACATACACATCTTGTTTTACATAGTCTTCCTTTTAAATCAAGATTCACCACTTACTTGCCCATGTATTCATTCACATGGAAAGAAATTGGGAAAACTGACATACTTTGTTCTTCATCACTCCAATGGGTCAATGGGCTCAAGTTAACTTTCTCCTACAATTGGACTTTTCAAAACATGTGCTCTCTCCAAAAGGTATTTCTTCGTTTAAATCTTTTACCTTTTCCTAACTGTGGCAGAGAAACAAAAGAACCAAATGAAGGTTCTGTGTGAAATGAGAACACAGGGCTCTCAGGATAGAGGACACTGAGAAATGGAGCCATTTGTGTTTCGCTCCGAGAGAAGTGGCAAAGAACCTTAGCAAGAAAATACACATCGTGGCCGATGATGAGATCTGAGTATCTCCCTGCTTCTGGCAACTCAGCAGTCACGCCCATAAGCCACCTCTGGCTGGTGCCAGATCATCTCGTTTCAGCCAGGATCCAGAGTTGCATATCCTTCTCTCCCGGAAGGGAACATAATATGACACTGTCCATAACCATGGCGCCGGACCCTGCGCCAGGCTGTTTCATTTGGGGCGCCCCAGATGAGGACAGGTGACCAGGGGCGGGTGAGAGCCCTTCCCGCCCTAAAGGACCGAGCCCCAAACCTCCGGAACTCAACATGTATCAAATTAGGGTGAGCTGCATGCAGGGCAAGCACCTTAACTCCTGTATTCTCTCTCCCACCCACTCAAAACTATTTTCAAAATAACACTAACGTACTGCTTTCCCCTCCTATCAGGCATGTAAGCTAAGTTTTCCAGAGGCTACATGACTATATGTGATGACATCATTGTTCTAACAGCTAATGCAAGGTGTACTTGTATGATTCTGTTTTATTTTTACTTTTAATTCCTAATATAGAATTTAGAAATACTATAAATATAATGCTGTAACCCACACTAAACAACAACAACAACAAACCTTTTTGGATAATCAGTTAACTTTTCAGAGTGTTGAAAAGAATCCTAGGGTCCCAAGCAATAAAACAGCACGGAGGACTCTTGCCTTGCACATTGCCAACCTGAGTTTGATCCCAGCATCCCATATATTCCCCCTGAGCACCGGAAGAAACAGTTCCTTAGTGAAGAGCCAGGAGTAACCCCAGAGCGTCATCAGGTATGGTCCCCAAACTAACAAACAACAACAACAACAACAACAAACCAACAAAGAATCTGAGACCAAAAAGTCAGAGAACTTCTAACTGTGGTTGAGAGACACTTCAGTAAACAGTCTGGTACACTGCCAACACAAAAGAAATGGGCAGAAATGAATACTAGACTGCCCAAGTTCCATATAATTTTGAAATTCACTTATTGAACAGGCAGTTAAAAGCACTTTGTGCTTAAACCACCAATCCCAAACACCGATGCAAATAAGAATGTAAAAGAAATATAGGATAGAATCCATTTCCTCTCGATATTATAATAACATTTGAGGTTCGTGAGAGAGTTAAGATAACAATACTCTGCTCCGGTACCAAAACAAGTACTACAAAAGTATGGCCTGTGGAATTCCATGGGAGGCGGGAGGGAAACTGTGAGGAGTATGTGGGCTTAATCCTGCAGTGTGGGGAGAGTAAAAACGAAGTGGGCAGGTTGTGAAAATTTGTGAACAACAGGGTAAAAATTTCTAGTCCTGAAGAGTGAAGAAGCAGCACAGGGGTTTAGGCACTTGTCTTGCCTTTTGTGCATCCTTTTTCAAAACCCCAGAACTCACATATGGTCTCTGAACGCTGCCAGAGGTCATTCCTGAGCACAGAGCCAAGAATGGCCCCTGGCCACAGTTGGGTTTAGCCTCAAACGAAAGAAAATTCTATTTTGTATGTCTGTTTAAGTATAAATAAAAGGATAAAGTTTTCTGAGTGAGACTGGTCTACGATGCAGACTACAAAATGCGTGGGCACTTGCAGGCAGGAAAGAAAAGAGCACCTGGATGAGGGCTGCCAGAGTGTTGGAGCCACCAGCGGGAGAAGGGCTGAAGGCAGAAATGAGACAGGGAAAGGGTCTCTGAAAAGCAGCTTTCAAGAAAAGAGTTAGGTTCATGAAAAAAGAATCACGTGTTTAGCAAGTAGTCATTAAACATGGGGAACGAAGGAGGTTCAATACTACTATATTCTAACTGAATGAGAAATTGCCATGTTCTGTCTTGAGATAACTGATGTATGCAACGGCTCTGAGGTTAGCCTGGACCAGAGACATGAATCAGAGCGCCCTCGGTATAAAGGCAAGTTAAGAAGAACCATCCCAGAAAGAAACATTAGCAAGAGAGCAACAATGTGGTCTTTGGGAACTTTAAATGGGCGGGAAAATTGGAAAATGAGAAACTATGATGAATGGTAAGAAAGCCAAGGACAGTGTTACTGTACTTGATCTGTCAAGATGCAATGCCTTAAACTTCACCGGTGGACTGAGTGGCAAATCAATACACAGGAAGAAGCCCTGCCAACTACAAATATCTAGACATCTACTTGCAAGCCAACAAGAGGAAAGAAGATTGTCGCTAAGGAGCCATGTACTGTGAGAGGAACATGCTTCTTCTGTGGTAGCAGCTATCAGTCTCTCCTTCCCACTCCCGACTCCTCACTGGAGGAAGATGAGTGTGTTTGATGGCTGAGGATCCGGTTCTAGAAGGAGCAAAGCCTGCAGGCCCCAGAGGAGAGCAGGGTAACGAGAAGCAGCGAGAACCTTCAGGCGGCAGGGGACAGCCACACCGACAGGAGAGAAGCCGAATCTCGCACTTTACTAAGAACCCAGTTCCCACCAAGAAGAGAAAAGGCGAAGTCTTCAGTTAAGGAGAAGTGGAGAGGGCTACCAGAATCTCAGTGCAGCAGCAGGGAGAGCGGGCTGGTTGAGGGCCCGTGGAAAATGAAAAAAGACAGGCATGATCCTTGTGACAGTAACAGAGAGAAAACTGCAAAGTTTCACAGAGCAGCCAAGATGGCTGGCTACACTCTCAAATATTTCCCTGCAGATCCGGCTGCCAAGGACAGCTGTGCAGGCGGCGGTTCATCGCACCAGCTGGGAGAGAGCACAGCCTCGAGGTGCTGGAGGCAGGGCAGGCACGGTGCTGGAGGAAGGCAGCACAGGATGCGTGATGTTTGCTGACTGGCACAGACACAGTACGGGCACGGGGTAGCACTGTTTGATTAGCCATTTAGCATTGAAAAAGGGGCCCGTGTGAAGAGAAGTAGAAAAACTGATGGCTCCTGGGAGGTGGTCTTCTCTCTGCCAGTTCAAGTGCATCACCTTCAATTTGATGCACCTAACATTTATTGAAGAACGACAATGAGGGTCTAGACCAGAGTTTCTCAGTTGGGGACAACAATTGTCCCCTGGCTCCTCCCACCCCACTTTAGTCTCCCAAAACCACAGGTGAACACAATTCATGTAAGTGGGGGACCATAATTTGAGAATGGGGGGGGGCACATGGTAAAATAGGGGAACACAGGAAGGAAAAAAGGCAGAAGAGGCCAGCGCTCAAAAAAGGTCAAATTGTGGCTGGAGCGATAGCATAGCGGGTAGGGCGTTTGCCTTGCACGTGGCCGACCCGGGTTCGATTCCCAGCATCCCATATGGTCCCCTGAGCACCGCCAGGTGTAATTCCTGAGTGCGTGAGCCAGGAGTAACCCCTGTGCATCGCCAGGTGTGACCCAAAAAGCAAAAAAAAAAAAAAAAAAGATCAAATGATGGAGCCACAGTGCTTCCTTCCAGGCCAGGAGGCTGGATAGCTACTGCCACTCACCACTGCACTTCAGCACCAGACGAGCACACAGATGGTGCGTACAACACTGACAGGGCAGAGAGGAGTGCAAACACTTAGGGAGACAGGCAGCATGGTTTTCTTTTTCTTTTGGTCTTTGGCCACACCAAAGATCACACCTGAGGCTCAGGGATTACTCCTGGTTCTGTGTTTAGGGATCACTCCTGGTGGGCTCAGGAAGCCATACAGGGTGCTGGGGATCGAGCCCAGGTCAGCCACGAACAGAGCAAGCACCTTACCTGCTCTACTCTCTCTCTCTCTGGCCCAGGAAGGGTTTTCTAAAAAAAGCAGAGGTTTGAATGGACTCTCCTCCATTCCCTTTCACTTAGCCAACTATTGCAACTGCAGTTGTGGTATCAGGGGTAATGCTACGTTGCAGCATGCCAGAGGCTGCATTTGTGGTAGTGTGGCGGAATCACAATGCACAATTTGGGATGGACCACACACACACACACACACACACACAGCGGCTGCCTACTACCGAGTCATATCCTTGGGTCCGAGTTGGATCTTGATGAACAGGAGAATGTCAGAGAAAATCATAGAGAAAGGCATCCCAGTCTTCTCTGGGACAACTATTTGGGTGGAGAAGAGGATGAATATAGAAGTGGGGCGAAGACTGAAGTGAGAGATGTGGTAAAGGGCCAGTAAATATATGGACATGGTCAGCAGCAAGAATGATGGATCTTTACATGGCAATAGCATTAAGAAGAGATTCTCGGTGCTGGAGCAATAGCACAGCGGGTAGGGCGTTTGCCTTGCATGAGGTCAACCTAGGTTCAATTCCCAGCACCAGGTGCGACCCAAAAAGCAAAAAAATAAATAAATAAAAAAGAGATTCTCACATCAATTTCAATATGCTTCCACTTAATCCACAGGTTTGAGATAGCAAATAGAGGTATGGACAAAGGCTCGCCATGGTTAATGTTATTAGGATCGGGCCAATTTACCATACTAGTCTGTCTGCAAGACCCCTTTTCTTTTTTGTGCTAAAAATACATAGAACCATGGACTTTATCCTGGAGGTTCTCGGGTACTTCTGGAGATTTCAAGGTTAGTGATAGGATGATATTTGCTTCAGAGAAAAATCAAAACAAAGAGCAACAAGTGGGGATAGAACAGCTTAGGGATATAGATGTCCTTGACAGTCCAAACAAAGGCCTGGCTGAGCCTTGGTTCTTGGATATTCAGAGGAAAGACTGGGGAGGACAATGGGACCTGGTTATTCGTTAAATGTGTGGGGCGACAGAGACACAGCTAGGGGAACTCCCAAGTGGAATCTGCCACACTTCCTATGGAATCTGCTACACTTCCTGTGGAATCCAGCATTCATAAGAAAATGTGGCATCCAGTTTTCAAATATCAAGTCTGGGACAGTGGGCAGTAGGGTCAAGTAAGGGGGCGCTTCTGAGCGCCCAGTTTGATCAGTATAACCAATGGGATGGACTGTGGTTGCCTTTTCAGGGGAGACTAGATTGCCATCCGGTCCTGAACACTTTTTAGGTTTTGAGGTGTGTGTGGAAAATTCAGTTAAGGTTGGAATAGGTATTTAAAGTGCAGAACTGTGAAGTGAAGAAAGGGGAATGAACCAAGTTCTTGGTTAAGAAAGAAGAAAACCCCACCCCAGCAGAATCTTCAGAACATCACAAGGTGAGGTGAACAAATATGGAGCTATCAAAACAGGTGTGGAGGTAAGAAGAAAATCAGGAAAGCTAAGGAACAACTTTAATCTCAACATCTCCAAGATGCTCCATCTGCTTTCTCTACTCCTTCTATTACTATTGTTGTTGTGTTTTTGGTCTGGGGGCCACACTCAGTGATGCTGATGGTGTTCAGGAGACCATAAGGAGTGTCGGGAATCAAATCCAGCCCTATGCAAGGCAAACGAGTTATGTGCTGTACAAATGCTTTGCTCCCAACTCCTATTATTTATTAAACTAAAAAAAATTTCTCAGCCATATCAGTGGTGCTCAGGGATCATTTCTGATGGTGCTCTGGGGACCATGTGCGGTGCTGGGATTGAACAGCGGTCAACTGTGTAGAAGGCAAGTGTACCCACGATATGATCTCTTCAGCTCCTACTGTCTTTCACTGGTTGCTGTGTATTTATGTGAGTCTAAGCCCCAAGCAAACGGGATTTATATCTTTGGGAAGGTCTCTTCTTCCCATGAGATCTATCGACTGTGTCCCTAAAGGAGAGCTTTCCTGGAAACAGAATGTGGACACCTTGACATAAAATTTCTTCCACGTGGCTGAACAATGTTTCTCCCAAAGGGGGAAATAAAAGGCGGTTGGGTGTGGGAGGAAGGTGGCTAGAGTGACTGCGAAAGTTACCTTGATTTTTTTTTGTTTTGTTTTGCTTTTTGGGTCACACCCAGCGATGCTCTGGGGATCCTCCTGGCTCTGCACTCAGGAGTTACTCCCGGCGGTGCTCGGGGGACCATATGGGATGCTGGGAATCGAACCCGGGTTGGCCGCATGCAAAGCAAACACCCTACCCTCTGTGCTATTGCTCCAGCCCCTGAAAATTACCTTGAGAGTGTGCACAGGTCCGTGTCGCGTGTACACGCGTGCTCGCTGGGGGGGCAAGGGGAGAAAGCCTCGAAACGATTCCAAGATACACGCAGTTATGATGCGGATGAGGAAATGATTGACAGGAGGTAGGGGGGAAGAGCTACTTGCACGGGAGAGCCTTTTAGGAGGGAGACACCATCTTCCCAAAAGCAGAGCGGGAGGGGAGCGCTGACGTCTGCCCCTCGCGGCCACAGAGCCTGGCCGCGGCCACAAGGGGACAGCCGGGCAGCAACTGCCCATTTCTTGGCGGCCACCAGGGAGCCTCCGGGCTCCAGGTCCCGGTTATTTTTACCCGCATCTTTGCTGACAGCCGTGCCTGGCATGCCCGGGGCTCGCCGTGGCGCGGCCGTGGGGAGACAAGGCCCCTCGGGACGGCGACCCCGTTGCACGCACTCCCGGCCGGGGGTCAGCCGGCCGCTGTCCCGCCGCGAAGGTCCCGTGGGCCTCGCCAGCATCCCGGGCAGCGGACAGCTCCTCCCGCCTCGCCCCGCCCCGCCCCGCCCCGCGCGGCGGCCTCTCGCACCCCACTCCCGGCGGCGGCCTCAAGGCCGGCTGCACCCGCACATCCGAGGCCACCCCTCACGTGGCCCTGCCCCAGGTGGTCGCGGGATTCACAGACCTGCTCCGCAGCCGCCGCCGCCGCCGCCATCTTCGCGCGCCAGCCGACCCTGCTGGGCCGCACCCCGCGCTAAGGCGCCTGCGCGCTTCCATCCAGGCCCAGCCCCGACTCGCTTCGCCCCGCCCACCGTGGGCGGGCCCAGTCAAGCCCCGCCTCACGCCGGCCCTCCCAGCCAGGCCCCGCCCCATTCCGTGGACCACGGGCTCTATCCGATAGGCCCCGCCCCTCTCTAGTTCTCGCCCCTCACTGGCGCGTCCTTATAGGCCCCGCTCCGCCCCGCTACGCCCCGCCCCTCACTGACTCTCGCCCCGCCCTTAAGTGGGACTCCCAGACAGACCACGCCTCCTGTCCCCGCCCCTCACTGGCACTTCCAGTCAGGCCCCGCCCCACCCCGCTCCACCCCGCCCACCAAGGGTGGGCCCAGTCAAGCCCCGCCTCACACTGGCCCTCCCAGTCAGGCCCCGCCTTCACTCCGCCACCCAGGAACACTACCCTATACGCCCCTTGCTAGCTCCCGCCCCTCCCTGGCACTTCCAGTCAGACCCCGCCCCGCCCTGCCCCGCCCCGCCCCGCCCCGCCCCGCCCCGCCCCGCCCCGATCGGAGGTTCGGATCCCGCTTGTGGTCCCCGGGATCCCCAGAACGGTGTCTTCGAGGGCGTTTTTCCGAGTCTCGAAGTTCCATGCGCCCTCGGCCGCCTCTGAAGGCTCCCGAAAGGGCTCCCTCACGATCCAGAGCTGCCTCTCCCTTTCCGGGGAGCTGATACAATCCAGAGCTGGACAGTCACCAGACTGCACCGGCCGGGTGGGGAAGGGGCGTTTCCCAGGGTTGTTGTGGATGGGGAGCTGGGGTTGGACCGATGTGATCAAATGGCCATTTACCCCACCAGCATCTTGATACCTGGGAATCCTCAAACAGAATTTCGATCACTTCAAAGCCGATAAAGTTGGAGGATGTCATATTTTTTCAAGAGTGTTGCAGGTGGACTCTCCTGTAACGGTATTTACTGCACATCACGAAGCCACCCAAATGCGCTCAGCGGAGTCCCTGTTCCCTGTGGGCCATTAATGCTGCAATCCTTTCAGAGGAAACCGAGGCAATCAGTGGACAATGTGCAAGAATTTTTCCTTGGGTACCTGAAACTGTTTCCACTGGTCACCTTTGAGCCCTTGAGGTCTCAGCAGGAGGCGCCAAAGAGAACAGCCTGCACAAACACGTTTTCTGGAAGCTAGGTGTGTTTTGCATTTTTGCATTCTGCGCTGGTGGGGGTGGAGGAGGAGCCCTCCACCAGAGGATGGTTCCTGAGAGGTCAAGACTGAGGATAAGGGACTGTAGGACCCTGTGATGCTGGGTACCACACAGCAATGATGGGGGAACCATGCAGTGGCCAGGATCACAAACCTGCTCAGCTGCATGCACATGTACCTTCACTCCTGTTCTGTGGGCCTGTTTTGCTCGTTGATTATTGGTATGTTTTCTTCTCTTTTTCTTTTTGGGCCACACCTGGCTGTGCTCAGGACTTACTCCTGACTGTGCCCAAGGATCACTTCTGGGATACTTAGGTGACCATATATGGTGCCAACCATCGAACCGGAATTGGCCCAGTACAAAGTAAGTGCCCTTTCTGCTAAACGATCTCTCCTGTCCAAGAGTGTATCATTTCTGCCTACTTTGTATCAGAGGGTGACTGTGAAGTATTAGGTCATCAATCACATAATCCATCTCATGGTGTTTCCTTTTCTTCCTTGATATTGGCTGATGTCCTAACTAGTTGGTCATCACACTCTGCTTATAAGTTATTCCTAAATGGTGGAGTTCATGTCCAATTCAATCAGCTTAATCAATGGATGAATAAATAGCAGTACTCCTACATTTAAAAATACACACACACAGTTTTTCCTAAATGTTAGACCCACAAGATTTATCCCCAGATTTTCACCTTCTGGGATTCTAGAGATGATCTATAGCTAACGTGTTGGGAGCTAGGAGTAGGTCCCTGAGAATTGATTCTGATTCCTTGTATCAGTTGGATAACTGTGTTTTTGATTGATGTTCAAATCCCCACCTCCTGTTAGGGTCTGGTAACCCTTACTTTTTGTTTTTTGCCTCATTTTCCAGGTCCTTCCCTTTATCTCTGGCAAAACATGTTCTCAGAGTTATCCTTCAAAAGTGCATTCAAATGTCATTTAAAGCTTTCTCAGGCTCCCACAGGCAGTTTTTGCTGCTGTTCCTTAACTTTGCACCTAATCTGTATCTTTGCAATTGCCTTGAAATTTATCTTAATCCTCTAACTTCATCTAAAAGACAGTGAGTTTACTAAAAGTGAGGAAGAATCTTGCTTCTCACATATGTACTTCTTATAACCTTACCTTCCACGAGTTTTTGTCTCTTAATTCTAAAAGTTGTTCTTATGCTGTTTGATAGTGAATCAAATCCAGTTATGGATAGAGGTAGAGAAAAAAATCAACAGACTGGCTGTTGATGGAGATCAGTCCTGGGACTTATTGCATCCTCTCTTTTCGAGGAAAGTTAGCAGCAGGGCCTCTGGAAGACTTTTGAAGGTTATCATGCAGTTCCTGAAAAAGGGTGACTGTTTATGTTAGAAGGAACAGACTGTCAGTCTTCAGGAATCAATTAACCACCTATGCCCACCTAAAAGACACAAGATGTATCTTACTGCTCTGCTCACACCACAAATATCTTCCTCTATGGTTATGATCACAACCGGAGGGTAAGATGGGTTTTATTCTTTCCTGCCTTTTTTCCTTCCCTTTTTCTTACCTTTTACTTCATCCTTTATTCCTTTCATCCTTCCTTCTTATTTTTTTTTGGATAGGAGTCCACCATCTTCTCAGGTTGCTAGCACCTAAATAATGTCATTATTTTTTAGAATAATTGTGATGTAATCTTTTTTTCTTGTAATTGGTCTAGGAGCTGGAACGATAGCACAGTGGGTAGGGCATTTGCCTTGCACACGGCCGACCCGGGTTCGATTCTTCTGTCGCTCTCGGAGAGCCCGGCAAGCTACCAAGAGTATCCCGCCTGCACAGCAGAGCCTGGCAAGCTCCCCATGGCATATTCGATATGCCAAACACAGTAACAACAATGAGTCTCACAATGGAGACATTACTGGTGCCCACTTGAGCAAATTGATGAACAACGGGAGGACAGTGTTACAGTGCTACAATTGGTCTAAGAGTGATGAGCACCCAAGCTTGGATTCTGTATCAAAAGCTCTATGTTTTGCTCATCCTTTTGTGCCTCCAATACCTAGTGTAGTGATAAAATATATTATATCTTAAAAACTTGCCTGATATTTTAAGGGTTTTTGTTCATTTTGGGGGGCTACACCCAGTTGTTTATAGGGCCAACTGCTGGGTCTGTACTTCCTTTTCCCCTTTGTCTTCTCTTCCTAATTCATCTCTCCTCTCCCATTTCCATCTCCATCTTTTCCAATCTGACTCAAAATATCACTTTCTTCTTTAAATTCCCCTGACTTTCCCTTCAAAGTGGGCGGGAGAGGGGGTGAAAGATAGTATTTCCAGAGAATTTTGTCTTTACCCTAACTTGGAGCGATAGCACAGCAGTAGGGCATTTGCCTTGCAAGCAGCCAACGTGGCTGACCCGAGTTTGATTCCTCCGCCCCTCTCAGAGAGCCTGGCAAGCTACCTAGAGTATCTCGCCCGCAGGGCAAAGCCTGGTAAGCTACCCTTGACATATTCGATATGCCAAACACAGCAACAACAAGTCTCACAATGGAGACGTTACTGGGCCCGCTTGAGCAAATCAATGAACAATGGGAGGACAGTGAACAGTGACAGTGACCCTAACTTGTCACACTGGACCATGGTGGCTGCCATACCCTCTCCTGAACAGACTGGGAGAGACTAGGGAGCTGGGGCTGAATCTGATTTTGCCATAGAATCAAGGGGGTTGTTTCTGTCACACTAGAAATCCAGTAAATGTTTATCCACTGTCCACACATGATCTATTCTAATACCCTGTGCATCCTCAGTACTGACCTCCAGCCAGCTGTGTTTCTCTTGAATGCCCCGGGAATCTTACAGCATCAGTCTTGCACACAGAACCTTTGCAGCAGCTGCCGTGCACATTAAGCTGCTGTGCTCTTTAAATGACTTTTCACAGAGTATTTGCCATTGCACAGAACTAGCAGGATTGAACAGATAGAAAGCAAGGAGGTAATTTGTGAACTGTCTCCTATAATTCTGGGAGCGTTGGCCAAGAGAGGAAACCTCTCTGGTCCTTGAGAACATCACACTGAAGCTCTTGTGGGGTTTGTTTTCAATTTAGGTTTGCTATAAAGTGCTCTATGCCTCATTTAGGTCTGAAAGTGACATGGGTGTGATATAGCCCATTTTTAATTTTTATTTTTGTAGTTAAACCAATAATGGGCATGAGGTAAGAGAGAAAGTACAGGGGTTAAGGTGCTTGCTTTGCATGCGGCCAACTTCGGTTAGTTCCTTGGCACCAAATGTTCCTCTGAATTCCTCTAGGAGTGAACCCTGAGTACAGCTGGGTGTTGTTCAGAAATCAAAAAATAAAAACACACAGTGGGCATGAAATAATTTTACAGAAATACTCAGAACGGTTAATGTTCTGAGTGGAAATGCTTATTGGTACAGTGCATACCGGTTTCTTGCTTCTACCCACTGTGGAAACCTATCTTCAACTCAGATACCAACCAGTTGATTCTTATTTCCAAAAGGTGTTTTCCTTTGTTTAAATCTTCACTTTTTTCTGAACATGACAGAAGACTGGAAGAACCAAATCAAGGTGAAAAAATAAGAACACAAAACATTCGGAGGACACTGAAGGTGGAGCCATTCATGTTTTTCTATCTTAGAGGCAAAAAACTAACTTAAAGCAAGAAAAACTAGCATAAGTAAAAACTGGAGCTGAGGAAAACTTCATGCAAGCAGGTCAGCTCAGATTTTCTTTAGAGTAATGCACGCCCTCCCTGACTCGAGGCAGCAAATCCAACAGAGACAGCTGCGGGACAAGAATAGCTGGCATGCACAGAGAGGATTAGGGTATCTCAAACAGCATAGGTACCAGCAGAATGGATTTTTTTCTTTTTGGTCACATTAGTGAAAGCCTTGCCACTGTCCTTGGAAAGAAGAATTGGAAATTCTCTTGAGGATCCCACCTTCTCTTCTTGCAGCTGCTGGTGCCAGTTGGCATTTCATATGGTGTGCAATGATCTGCACAGTGCCTACATACTCAGTCAATTCCATTCATTGCTGGTTGATAAATTAAAATCCCCTCTATGAAATCTCTGCAGTTGACTGCTCTGGGTAACATGCAGAATGAACAAAATTAAGGACACTCAGAAAAACCTATTCTAAGTGTTTGGTACATTTTTTCTTCCCTAGATCAAATGGCTCCTGAATGAATGGTAGGATTATGATGCCATAAGAGAAACCAACCAGTTATTGATTGGTTTTCTCCTATCTCAGTCAATTATGACATCAGACTGGGAACAGCCAATAATCTCCCTCATTGCCTCCTTTTACTTTTTTTTGTTTAAACCATCCGCTTAAAACAAACTCATATAGAGACCATTGGCGGTGGTAGTTGCTGTGTTAAGGAACATAAGCTAAATAAATGTTCATCCTTTCAAGAAATTCACAAGCATAATATAGGAGACAAAGGAATAGAATATAGTGTGATCATTGTAACAAAATCAGTATGTTCCAGAGTCAGAGAAGAGAGTGATTTTTTAAGGGACCAACTTGAGGAATTAAGAAAATTTTATCTGTTTGAACATAGTTTAAATTGAGTAAAAGTGCAACAGAGAGAACTACCTTGTTTATTTTCTGGAGATTAGGTGCATTAGTTATGGTAATGATTCTGCAGAATAACTCAGGAACAAAGCTCAGTTCTTGGTAATTAGCTAATAATTCTGCTCCTCATAAACACAGCTTGACCCAAATTGAACTGTGAGCCAATATGGAAAGAAAGGGTAAGATTGACTCAATCTGAACTTTTAACCAGTGTGCTGACAACAAACAGAAGCAAAACGCTAAATGACATCAATAAATGTCAGAACTGCAAGGGACCTGAGAGTTCATCTGGGGAAAAGAATGAGGCTCTGTGATTTTGGACTTAGGGAAAATCACAAGGAATTTCTAATTGGCAGAGCAGTTAGTGTGAGACAAAAGCAAGAGTTTTAACGATTCACATTTATTGTTCTTGCAATAACTTCTTCAGGGTGCCTTCTAGTGTATCACAAAAGAAAGACTTGATTTTGAGGTCTGCCTTCGAAATAATTTTGTAGTTAAGAATATTCTAAACTAAAAAAAAAAAGAATATTCTAAACTAAACTGAGGCAATATTCTCCAAAGAGAAGCTTTACTTATCTGATATATTCTTTCATCTACACTACATACAATTTTAAAAAATAATCCCTAAACTTCTTGACTTTGTGCCTGCAATTTGGACCACAAGGGTTCTTCAATTAGGGTTGTACTGTACTTGGGCTCCAGATGATAGCACTCTCTTATGTTGCATGCTACCCAGCACCCAGGAAAAACTCTGCAGAGGATAAAGTGGTTAAGGGAAGTGTTCAAAGATGTCCACAGTTTACAAGCACTAAGGAATTCTTCAGTTAATATTGACTAACGTGATGAGAGAGTAATGAAACAGTGTTAACTTGATGGTCCCTCTCTTTGATAATGCTTTTTTCATGTGGATATCCTTTAGTATTGATAAAAACGAATTGCCGAAAGCAATTAATCAAGGTTGATTCTAATCTCAAAAGGTGAGTTTGACCAAAAAAAAATCCCTTTTATCTCTTTGTAGGATAGATGCATTGGTGCTAGAAAATGTCTTTCTATATTCATATAGAAAGGCATTCATATATACACTTTGGAAATCAAATTCTATCTTTACTATGAATGACAATAATAAATACCCCCTTTTCCTCTCTGCCTTGATTTCCATAAAGTTCAAAAATAAATATTAAATGGGGCTCAAATCTTAGTACATAAACTTAACTTGGGACATATTTGCATTACCTGTTAACCATATTTCTATTGGGGGGAACTTTGGGGCCATACCCAACATTGCTCAGGGCTTATTCCTGTCTTTGTGCTCAGAGACCACTTTTGGCTGGCTTGGGGGACCACATGGGGGCTGGGAGTTAAACCTGGGTTGGCTGCATGCAACCAAATGCTTTACCCATTATACTATGTCTCATTCCCCATATTTCTATTTTAGTAATCTATTTTACAAGACATTTAACTGAAGAGAAAGTGCAGGGGATTAGGTACTTGCCTTACATGTAGTCAACCCCAATTTGGTTTTAGCACCACATATGACCACGGGAGCACCTCCAGAAGTGATCCCTGAAGTCCTGAACAAAGTTGGATATGGTCCAAACACAAATGAAGAGAGATATTACTGAGTCACCTCAGATCTCTTTTTGAAACTTGTCAGTGATAAGTAACAATAAATTAATAAAACATTTACTTTGAGTAAACGAAGTCTTGCCTTTGGTTACTAACAAACACAATTCCTGCTAATTACATTTACCAGAGATCTAGAGAACCAAGAGGTTCAGAAAGTGACAGCCACATCTGAGGGTTTTTAATCTAGATGTGAGTGTCACAGGGAGAAATGGCAGCAGGAAGAAGAGTCTAAGAAGATTTCAAAGATTCCTTCTAAAACTCTGAGTCTAATGAGTCATTAGTAATAGGGACTTATTGTCAACTTTATTGCTTTGGATCAGTTTAAGTATGAGTATTTTGGTTAAATTTTTTCTAGGCTGGATTTTTTGGGAGGGTAACCTCATTTTTGAATGAGTTTTCATAAAAGCAATTTGTTTAAGTTCGTGAAATCAGAGAAGTTTAAGGGAGCATATTTAAATCACAATCATTTCTTAGGTTCTTATCACAACACGAAATGTATGTAAGTTCTTTTTTCACTTATTATACAGTGAGAATTTCTAGATATTAGATGAATATAACACATTTCAATAACACATTTCTCACTGTATAACATTTCATCGGATGGTTTGTTCAACCATTAAATTTTACTTGGAAAGTTAATTTCCATCCTAGCTTTCATAACAATTGTGTCATCTGCATTTTTCTAAAGATGACTAACATTTATGAAGAACTTTTCCATGTGTTATCCTAAGCACTTCACATGAATTATTCTATTTAGCCTCATTATAATCCAGTTGAGTGGCGAACTATTATTCCTCATTTGAAATGTTAGTGTCTAGAGCACAGAGGAGGATTTAACCCAAACCTGACATGAGCAAAAGATTCAGTGGTGTAAGGATTTAAATGAACTGGTGAAGTTTTTCTCATTCCTTTCCTCCTTTCTGTAGTTTATCAAATAGCTAAGGATAACTTGAATCTGCACTTTTCCAATTGCATAGAAAATAAGGCTTCTTAAGAAGTTTGTGGTGGTTGAAGTTGTTTCTGTTCTTGACTCTTTCCAAGGACCGCTGGCTTAATCACCCTTTGGAAACAAGGTCTTCCAAAGGACACAAGCCTTTCACCAAGTCTCATCAGAGATCCTGGCACATCAAATAGTGAACTTCCAGAGAATCCTAAAAATATACTATCAAATTTTGTTCAAACCTGGGGGCTTAGTATTAACTTGTGAAACATCCTGGATCTAAACAATCTAGATTTAGATTTAAAAATCTAGATGTAGATGTATATTCTAAATCTAGATTTAGATTAAAATCTGAGATTCAGGCATACCCTGTACACCACGGAACAAAGCAAAGCCAGATAAAACAAGTTCCAGGCTGGCGAGAGAAAGGTGTTTAGAATGAATTAAAGGCCTGATCAAGTGTAAGGGAAGATCCCAAGAAATAACCATTCCCTTTTGGATTGAAGGAACATTGGAACAATAATCAGCAGTTTTCAGAAATGTGTGATTACAAAGTAGCATTGGTGTATTAAGCGCAGCACTGAAAGGTCATACTTTGATCTTTAAAAGTATGATCCTTGACAGTAAGCGACCAGTCCCATTTAACCACCTTATTATGGTTACCACTGAATTTTTTTTTTTTTTTGGTGCTTTTGGGCCACACTCAGTAATGCTCAGGGCTGCCTCGTGGTGGGCTCTGGGGACCCTATAGTGTTCTGGGAATCGAGCCTGGGTCGGCTGTGAGCCCAGGTTACCACTAATTTTAACCTTAGCTTTCCCAGACACGAGGTCTCTGGCTGTTGTTCAAAAAAAAAAAAAAAAAAAAGAACTGGTTCATTCGGGGATCGCGCTGCAGCCAGCTAAAGTGGAGGCGCCCACCAACCCTCACCCCAAAACCGGGGTCTCGAGTGCGAGTAAGGAAACAGGAGTACAGGAGTTTTCCTATAGGAGCGGCAGCGGGGGAGGAAGAGCGAGAAGCTCAGTGGCAGGTGACCAGGCTGCGGGTGGAGAGGGATGTCAGGGTCGCAACCCTCCGGGCAGGGCGGCTGGAGCCCCACGTGGGCGGGACGCCGCGGGCGTTGCTAGGATGCCGCCGCCCTGCGTCCCTAGCAACCGCGGGCCCACGTCAAAGTTTGTTTAATAATCGGGGGCTTATTTATGGCCGCGGCAGCCGGCGGCCGCAGGGAAGCCAGAGACTCACCGGGCAGCGGATGCGGCGCAGCGGCTGTGGCCCAGAGCACCTCCCCCCGGCTTCCCGCACCCTGCCCGGTCCAACCCCAGGGGGAGGATGGCAACAGCAACGCTCTGAGCCCACCTGGAAGATAACACCCTTCCCCCGCGCCACCAGCCCACCGTCTCGCAGAGGCCACCACCGCCTAGACCTCTCCGCGTCTCGATCTCCCGGAGTGGAGCGGAAAGCGAGCGATGGCGGAAACCTTGAGGAAACTGGTTTCTAACGGAACTTTGGGAATGCTGCAGGACAAGTTGGAGTCGTGGATGAGGGAGTATAATGTGAGTCACGCTAGCAGGGCCCCCCCACCGGGGGGTTATATAGGGGGGCTTCTGGGTCCTTGCACGGCCCCGGGAGGCGGTTGGACTCTAGGAGGATGACTTCTGGGTGGATTTCTTTGCAAAGGCGGCACGGTTAGGGCTTCTAACCCGCAGGCAGCACCCTGGGTGCGCGTGTCGCCGGGATCGACGGTGCCCTTTTCTCCGTGCGGCGCTAGGGGGCGCTGCGGCGGCACGGCCCCCCGGAAGAGAATGGCGGTAACCAAGGACGCTGAAGGCCCTAGCAACAGGAAAGAGCCGCATTCTTTACTGTGGATCTGATGGAACCCGCTATCTATTCTCCACTGTTTCCTTCCTCCAGCAACCCACCGTTCTACCCTTAACCCAACTACTATTTTACTACAATCGTGACGTTCCATCTGAGAAGTTAGTTTAGAACAGATCTTTATAAAAAAAAAAAGACACCCCGGGCGTTAAGTCCTGCGAGGATCACACGTCCGTGTTGTGGGGTTCACGTGTGTGCAGGTCATTACGGCACGTAGGCAGCTTCAACGCCTAGGCAGAAAGTCTACACCATGGCATTTGCAAGAAACCAATATTCTGCCATCAAACGCAGGAGCTCTCTGTGGGGTCCCCATTCTCCCCTCGGGTTCCCTGTCATTACTCCGCACCCAGAGAGCATAACATTCAGCCTCCCCGCTTTTATTTATTTCTTTCTTTCTTTCTTTCTTTCTTTCTTTCTTTCTTTATTTATTTTTGCTTTTAGGTCACACCGGGTGATGCACAGGGATTACTCCTGGCTCTGCATTCGGGAATTAACCCTGGCGGTGCTCAGGGGACCATAGGGGATGCTGGGAATCGAACCCAGGTCGGCCGTGTGCAAAGCAAATGCCCTACCCACTGTGCTATTGCTCCAGCCCCAGCCTCCCCGCTTTTAATAGAAGAATTCTACCATTAGAAAACAAGTGGAACAGTGAGGCAGAAGAGTGAGGGAATCCTGGATCAGTACCCCTAGCTTCTAATCCTGCTCTTTGTAGCGCTAATTGATGACTTGGGATAATTGATTCCTACCCCTCTGTGAAATGCAAGAAACTATTCTAGATGATACACCAAATTCTGGTCACGCACTTTAGTCAAAACCAGCTCATTTCTGGGACTGGAGCGGTAGCACAGCGGATAGGGTGTTTGCCTTGCAGGCAGCCTACGCGCGTTCCATTCCCAGAATCCCCTATAGTCCCCTGAGCACTGCCAGGAGTAATTCCTGAGCATCGCTAGGTGTGACCCAAAAAACAAAACAACAACAACAACAAAGAACCCCAGCTTGTTTCTTAAATCTTTGTGGTAAGAATAACGGCTGCTCTGGCTTTTGCCATTCACCTTTGAATCAGGACAGTTGGAGCAGAGAGAAAGCGCAAATGTATCTCTAGGTCTCTCCTTTACTTTCTTCCTAGTGTATGTATCCATGCCTTTGGCCTAGTTTTTAAGAACCAGCACTGATTATTCTTTCTCTATGAAAATTTCAGGAAAATTAAAAATGAAAAGCCTTGGGTAGCCTTATAGCCATCATTTATTTTTAACTGCTTTTCTCATTGGTTAAACAGTGCTATAGGATTTCAGGTTTCACGTGCCAGATGTGAAGTTGTAAAATGCACCACACCCACTGCCAAAGTTCTATTGCCATCCCACCATCAAACAGGTCCTCTTCCCCATGCCTCTCACCCCTTCTTCCCTCCAGTAAGCACTTTCATTTTTACCAAGCCCAGGAGTTTTGTTATTTTTTCTTTTGCAGTTACAGCACAATTAAAAGAGGCCTACTTTTACTTTATAAAATTTTATTTATTTTATTTTACTCTTTTATTTCCATAAAGTTGTTCGTGATTTATTTCATTCAATATTCCAGTGCCAGTCCCACCACCATTGCACCTTCCCATCATAATTATTTCCAACTTTCCCAACTATATCACAAGCCTACCCGTAGGGCCCTACTTTTAGTCTAGTCACTGAAGTTAGGAAGGCAGAAAAAAATCCTAATCCACGAATTCACCCTTAAAACTCTCTGGGGGTGGCGAGATATTACAAGGGGTAAAGCATTTATCGGGCACCTGTGGACCTATGTTGGATTCTGGCACCACAGGAGTGATCCCTGAGTGTAGAGCCAGGAGTAGGCTCTGAGTACTGTTGGGTGTGAACCCAACCCCACACCCTCAAAACAAAATGGAAACAAAACCTAGCTAGGGCAAGAAATATTTTTAATTGCCTTGTAGCCTGTAAAAACTATGAACTTCAGAAAGCATGTTCATTTTGGTACAAATACGCTCCCTGTAAGTTCTGAGAAGCACCCAGAATTTATTATATCTTCTATGTAAAAGTGCACATTCTCATTCCTCTGTTCTCACTACTCATTTCTACCTAGATTTCCCTTGCTGATTCTACTTCCCTTCTCCTTCCATGGAGAAACTGCACTCTGAGTTTTCCAAATGCTGAGGCTATTTCCTGGGCATCCTTTCTTGAGCTCCCTGACAACTGATTTCTCTGTGGCCATCCCTGTTTGTCTCTGGTACTCTTTGCTTTGTTGATTTCCTCCTCACTCACTTCTGTGGTTCCAGACATTAGAAATATCTTTCCTCTACATTCCCATTGCATCTTTTAGGTGTATGTGGTTAAATCTCACATCTTTTTTCCAGGCCTGAATTTATCCTAGTTTCTCTGATGATTATTAGTCGGACATTTTTAGTTGTGTTTTTCTCATCTCAAGGTCATATTGGTCTAAAACTGACCTTAGCCTCTCCCATGCCTCAATTGTGGACCTCATTACTTAACTCAATTCATCATTTCAGGACCCTTTCCACATCCTTTTCTTTTGAAACCCGTAGGCAGTGGGAAAGGAGTGGGATGCATTCCCCAGAGAGGAGACACATTTGAATTGTGTTGGGAAAGGTGGAGGATAGGAAACTTTAGGGAGAAAGGATGGGTCTGGGTGACAGGAAGTTATATAGATCCTCCTCTTCTCAACTTCCCAGTTAGTGAAAAGGGTAAAGAAATCTGAGTGTCTTTCAGGTTCATGTAAGATCATGATATCCCCAGACACCCCAATTTATCACGCAAATCTCTGTGGTTTTAGTGGTTAACCCTAAAAGTCATGTAATCTTTCTCGAACCGTATTTCACCTTCTAACTATTCCATGGAGATGTTGAGAAGAGAAGGGAAGACCTTACAGCATTAGCTATCTCCAGCGGTGCTCAACTCTAGGCTGAAACTCTCCTTCCTGGAGACAGTTTAGTTTCCACTCATGATGAGGAAAAGAGATGTTTCAAACAGGCTCACTTTATGCAGGCCAACACCAGAGAATAGGACTTGTCAAGGGCAGCTGAGTATGCTGTCATAACCATGGAGTGTATTCAAGGTGCCTTTGAGATGGTCCTAGTCTTGCTTTGTAACCTTGGTAAACTGAGGTAACATATGTCAAACATGTTCACATCCTTGAGGTGTTCCGGATTCTGCTTTACCAGATAACATGAGTTGGAATTGCTGCTTCTGTACTCTTCTGCAAGCTACCTGCAAATGCCCCAACCCTCATCCGATATTTATCTTTTTTTTTTTTTTGGCCACATCCAGCTGTGATCAGGGTTTACTCCTGGATCTATGCTCAGGGATAACTCCTGGCAGATGCAGGGAATTATATGGGGTTCCAGGGATTAAACCCCAGTGGGACTCATACAAAGTTGGCATCCTATCCACTGTACTATTGCTCTGGGCCCCAAGATTATTTTTCTTAAGGTAAAAAAAAATAATCCTCCAGGGCACTACAATCTAGAAACTTGATTCCCTAGTATATGAATGAAAAGGGGTCAGGGACACTTACTCTTTCATAACTCACCTTTGTGTCAGAGAAATCTATACTTAAAGGTGAAAACAGAATATTGAATATCAGCACGCGGAACCACACTGAAAGCAGATCTTGAAGGGTGTCTCCTTGGTGCTGGAAGAATCTTTGTGGTTGAGGGAGAGGCTGTCTCTCTCTGGGAGAGACTACAATCCTGAGTACAAAAGGTTGCTGTAGCTAGGACCAAAACAGGCTTTTTGACTGCCTTGGCTGTTCCTCCTTGGTCAATACACCTCTACATTCATGAGGATATTATGGAATTAGTACATTTACTTCCCTTCCCTTGCCACAATTACCTCGCTTCCAGAAACTCTCCTCTTGGCGTTCTCTGACTATCTTTAAAATCTCTGCTTGGTGTATGTGTAGTTTGGATTTCGGGCAGAACAGCAGGTTCTGTAAGGACAGGGAGAGGTGAGCAGGGTGGAGCAGAACCATCAGGGAAGCATAGCTGTTTGCCCTGGTCACTCCATGCATTTCCTTCCTACTGCCCGTCCAGTGCAAGGAGCACTTTCAGCCAGCGTGCTCCAGAAGAGGATGGAGCAGGCATCTGGGCAAAATGTAGCACACTAGGATGTTCTCTCTAACCTGAATGCCTCTGCTCTTGGGCTTCTTTCTCTGTCTAGCAAGGTGGGCCAGCCCCTGAAGTCTTGGATTGCATGGATTCCCTTTCAAATTAATGCCCAGCTCGATTACCATCTCTTCCATTTAACTTAAAGTTCTTTGTTTTGCTCCTCAGTGAATTCTGGAAGATGAATGGCAATCAGTAGGGTGCTTTTTATTTTTTTTTTAATCTCTTAGTTCAGGGTCTGACTGGCAATCGAGTAAGGAGCAATAATTGTTAGGTACTATTGCTAGTCATCATTATCCAAAGGCCCTATAGTACTCTTCAGCTGTCCTCAAATAGAATCATCCCTCTCACATCTCCTACCTCTTTCTAAACCTGCTCGCTTCCAGCTCAGGAAATTTCTTAGGTATGGAATCTGATAGGTATGATTGGGGCTAGGAAGAAATTTCAAGAGGACGCTCAGTGTCTCTCAGCCCAATTATTATAACCATCAGCTTCTTCATCAGATTCTCTCTGACCCAAACTGAGGTTTTCTCTTGCCAGAGTGATTTTTGT